GAAGCCGCGGCGGCCCAATACAAGGTACGATTTCCGTTTTGTGAAGTCATAATGCTGAAAGGCGAATTCAATTGTTTCCCGTGAATCAGTTCCAAGCAGGTACGAGAATGGCGGTTTCATGGAACTGAAGTTGGTTATGAAATCGCAAGAAGACCTTTAACCGTTTCGGTCTATTTTCAACCGGGCACCCTAAGGTTATACCAGTACCGTTCCGCGAAGTTTTCATTCAAATTCCAGAGTCTATATTTATTAGAACTTTTTCGAATATATACCTGGTGATTTCAGCATCGAATCGAATATCTTTTTCGTATCAATCTCGAAAAATTGGAAGATCTGCAATCATATGTGGCTTTTTCACTGAAATGCGTCCTCCAGACACATAAATTACTAAAAAATTAAATTTTTCACAATTGTATTGTGAAAATATGGCTTCAATAAAAAAAATTGCGGAATTCACCTCGACTTATGGGCGACAGAAAATAATGAAATAGAAAACTGAACAAGATGGCGGCGATTCGAATTTTTGTCTGAACCGATTCGAATAATTTACTATCCGATTCAAATGCCAAGCCTTGATATTAATATAATGTATGTTGTTTCAATAAATTCAAATACCTATTATTATTGCCACTACTGTATATTAAACGTGTTACACTTTGATGAACATTTTGTTTTGTCAATGTTAGGTTTGCTTTCATATATATTTTAGTTTATGTATAATTCCGTAAAAAGAAAATTAAACTAATAAATACTATTGCACAGAGGTTCCTCGTGTCTCCGGAATGTTTCATCGGGATTCCACCGCATCAATAAGATTGAAAACCACGAAGCTATTGGTTCGCTATATTACGATTACACGCTCACGATTATTCAATAGTATAGGTCAGAGGTGGGCAACCCCTGGCACGCGTGCCAAACTTGGCACGCGAGCTCATTTATTCGGCACGCGAGTGAGGCCTCGGAAACGAAATTGTTCTCCTTCAGAAAAAGAGGTTAAAGACTCTGAATTATCTGATATGAAACTGAGTATTTGTTTATTCATTAGGATTTGTTAACAATCCATTATTTCAACTCTTTCTGTCCTTTCATGGCATATGGCTACAAACAAATATATTATGACGTAATAAATGAGTGAGCTCTCGAGAAATTTTGTGGAGAGGGCCGCGGAGAGTCCGTCGGTACCACCATTTTTCTTCATTTCTACTCGATTTATGGAGTTGTACGGCTCAATTGGTTACTTGCTAACTTACTGTTATAAATTGATTTCAAAAGTAATATGAGCGATTGGGGAAGGGAATACAAGAGGAAAGTGCAGAAAACGACCTATTGCGTGATTGGTATGCCATTCCCGAAAGTTCTTCGCGTCTTAAAAACTTTGTAACTGCATTAATTTCAATGTTTTCATCTACATATGCTTCTGAATCTTTTTTCTCAGTTATGAACCTTATCAAGTCTCGTAAGAGGAGTAGCTCGAAAGATGAAATCAGTAGTCGCGTGTTTCTCGGAAAGTTACAAAATATAAACCCAATGTAAAATCTCTATCAGTGGTAATGCAGCAGCAGGAGTCGCACTGATATAAAATTAGATTTGCTGTTTTTGTTAAATTGCTTTCAAAGTACTGCCTGGTTGTAAATCGCGTTTCTCTGTGTTTGTTTGGTGCTCCCGCAGTATGCGAACCAAGATGGCGGACATCGGAACGTAACATGGGTAACAGGTTAGGGTTAGGCGATAATTTTTTTCCAATTTTCCTTATTTTAGTCCTATTATCAGTTCGAAGAGTAGCCAAGAGCCTCCCGTAGTATTTATACCTAAAATTATGGCCTAACCCTAACCTAGTTCACACATTACATTCCGATGTCCGCCATCTTGGTTCGCATACTTCGGGAGCCCCGTTTGTTTTATTTTTTTTTGGTGGGTGGGCACGTACACTGTACGCTTTTTAATTTTTTGGGGGGTTATGCCCGTCTCCCAGGTATCTCTGCATTTTGTTTTGTCTGTTTACTTTTTGTATTGTTTATGTCAGAGAACCAAAATAAATGATTGATTGATTGACAGAAAGTAATCAACTCCATTTGTCGGATTGATATTTTTCCGAATGGTGAACATGTCTGTACGTGTTTAAAAGGTTTATTGTGTATTTTCGACCGAAAAGTAGCAGATAATTGTTTTTAATTTTGGTCGGCACGCGGAAGAATTTTGTCGTCAAATTTAGCCGATTTTGGCACGCGAGCCGAAAAAGGTTGCCCACCCCTGGTATAGGTCAATACATATTGAGGGAAATAAACATGCATGCATACGACGAAGTTAAAGTCAAAATAATTGTAAACGCAAAGCTGATTTCAGAGTAACTACGAATGACATGCTTACTTTCAACTGGTGAAATATGTCGATTTTTATCGATATGCCGCTCATACCTGCCTTGTTTAATAAATGAATTGTCTTGGGTATAGTAGTCCTTTTTCTATCAACGTTTGGACCATTTTGACGGGTTTCCTCTACCGGATTCCCTTTCTCTGTGTTACAGGCAGAGCTGAAGTTAAGAGCGAGCACGGTCTTGGAATGCGTGATAATTAGCAAACTATTGTTTGTATTATGTTTAGGACGTTAAAAACCCACAGCTAATGAGCAACGTGCACTTCGGCTGATCGTTATATTTGAGGTTCCGAACGTTATGTATCTGATTTATGTAACGATTTTTATGATAATGGAGCTTACATAAATATATTCTTTGAAATGAGGAAACTTGTTGTTGTTAGTAATTTCAATACAAAAGAGAATTCATTCTTAAAAGTTTGAATCACACTGGTCGTTCCACAAACAGCGTTTGGTTTGTTTAGACGTGTTTCCATTTGTTTAGTTTACCTAATTCTCTTCCTCTGGGTCACCGGGTCACGGTAAGTTACTGCTTCGACTGACTAGCGATACCACGTGCTTCACACTAAATCCCAAACGTGCACTGCAACAATAACTCGTTGAATTAATTTGCATTTAACAGTATATGCAAAGACAGGGAAATTTGATTGCAATAGAATTTCCAATGCCATTGAAATTGAGTACCGTCTAGATCAGGGGTGTAGTCGGCGGGCCAGGTGTGGGAAAATGAAGTACTCGGCGGGTCGGATGATTACAAAAAATACTTCGGCATCCAATCTTTATTAAATGCTCATGTTGTTGCTCTGAAATATTATACTGTCTATCTTGATACATTCTGGTTTAAACAAAGAAATATTCAAAACCTTTCAACTGGATGGATTTGGATTAATCAAGAAAAGCATGCAGAGCGGAAAAGGCACGCATGCTGATTTTTTGGTTTCTGAATCTTGCGAGATTTGACGAAGCGCTTTCTCGATGAATCGGAACCGAAAAAGCAAAAAGTGTGATTACTCGGCGCCAAGACGTCGCCGGGCCATTAATACCGCATTTATCAAACACCAATATGACGGCGGAAGAGAAATTACTAATAAACCAACATAACTTTGACCTATTATTCAAGAAAAGCATGCAGAACGGTAAAAGCACGCATGCTGATTTCCAGGCTTCTGAATCTTGCGAGTTTTGACGGAGCGCTTTCGCGATGAACCGAAAAAAATATGATTACTCGGCGCCAAGACGTCGCCGGGCCGTTAATACCGCACTTATCAAACACCAATATGACGGCGGAAGAGAAATTGCGTAATAAACCAACGTAACTTCGTCTTTTGGGCTTCGGTAAAGGGATTGAGACGGTAGAAAAACAACAAAATGAAATTTTCCGCGGACCGGCACCGGTCCACGGACCGACGGTTGGGAACCACTGATCTAAAGCATATAGAGCTTTTATTGAGTAAATGAGTTCTCAATAAAACATGCCTTCCCTAAATAGTTTTCTGAGATTACATCGATTTTTTAAAAGTATTATTAGACAGACCAACTTTTCTAATAGTCATCTTCAGTGTGAAACTTAATCACTTCAGAAAATAGGGTGGGGGTTGACCTCCCACTCCCTCCCGTCAATACCAAAGCAATTTTATTTGTGTTATGTATTTTTTTCGTATTGATGACTGTTTTTCTTTTGGTTGACAAAATAATAAATCTGTTTATGTGGATATGGATTATGTTTATGGAATGTTTACAACGCTTTCTGCTTTGAATTTATATTGTTTGTTTAATTAACAAGTGTGCTAACGCAATTATTTGTTCACCAAGGCAATTGTTTATGTCTATAAAATCGAGAATTTTTTTCAACCGGAGTGTTTCGTTCAAGCAGTGTTTTTCAAAGTTGATTGACCGGCGGCCAAAATTAAAAGTGGGGCTTTCGCGGGCCAGAAGTGTTACGAATATACACGTGCTCAAAATGTGATAAAGACGGAACAATTGTACTTATTTCACTAAAGTTCGGCGGGTCCTTTTCAATCGTTACGCGGGTCGTAATTGGCTCACGACCCGAGAAGAATGCAACAAAGTTACGCGTTTCGTATGAAAAAATACCAGAGCACAAACAATCAATTAAACCAGATTTCTCTAATTAAATCACAAACACAACCGCAATATTTCATATCATGATAGAGAATCAAAAGTCGATATCCGTCTCAATTATGCGAAAAACTAGGGTCTCCTCTAAAAGATGGGGAATAACAAACAAGTCGATAGTTACAGACAGGATATCCACCCGGGGAGAAGACGAGGCGGATACGGGATCGGTCACAATTATTTGTTTCGGAAGCATTTGTTTCGGAAGCATGGACATGGACAATCGCACTTACTCATCGATCTTCACGCGGCATAATCGGAGGTGCAATGGAAAACTTATTCCCAACGCTAAGCACGATGCGTCAACCGCCGAGCGTGCACGGTTGCATCGTTAGTGATTGGCGATCGCCTAAACTGCCGTAAGACGAATCCCACAAATTCCTATTATGTCAATTAAACTTGCTCCTTCATCAGAGACTTCGCGTAAACTATAAAAATCTAACCATAATCAAAAAAGGGAAGCAAAGGTCACCCTTGTGTTGTCACTTTAATCGAGATTTCGTACTTTATTGAAAGCAATAAAATTCATTCGGATTCATTTCCCTCCGTTCTATAAAAACCGACCAATACCTAAAACCAGCAAGATATATTTTACAAATACTGTCAATTAAGTTTGCTTCTATCGTACTTCTTATTCGGAGAGAAAACGAGCAAAGATAAATAAGCTTATGACCAAAATATAACTGAAAGTACTATACCAAGATATTTCTATGCATTTTATCCGATTACCTAAAAAGAGAAACTGTTTCATGATCAGACGAAAATATTTTTATCACCAAGTAGAATTAAAAGTAACACAGTCTCTGAAAGAGCCAACATAAATACACATATGACAAGATATGAGTAGAAACAATGGCGCTCTAGAAGTGTTCACCAATATGAGGTTATCTAAATTAGTTTGCATGCTTTACATCAAGTTGTGTAAAAGGGGCTGAAACCTATGGGCCTGTACCTCCTATATTCACTTGGCTAACACAAACAGTCCCGAACTTGTAATAGAACTAAAATAAGGAGAGTCGGAATAAAATTAGGGCCTAACCCTAACCTGGCAAACATACTACAGGAGTACAGAAGTAATAAATAAGACCTTGCTATACATTTTATCTGATTACTTTTGAAAAACAATTGTATGATTGAGAATAACTTGTACTAACTATTATTATCATTAGTGCTTTCAGTCACTGAACGCTGGAATAACGAGTTATAAAATATAACAGCTTACTCAGTAAGCATAGTGGACGTTTTGTTCTGATCATTTTCCTAATAGTTGATGATATTCATCTTTGAAAGTAGGAATTGTCAAGTCACATCACTGACAGCTAAGAGAACTGACTGAGTGATGGATTCTATGTTTTCGGTAATTTATGTGGTTGGGAGACCCATAACAATAAAAAATCACATACAATTACAAACCTTCGAAGTATTGGAGATACGATTATTCGAAAAAAAACATTCGAGTCGATTCTGGAATCGTCAACTATTCGAAAATGCCCAGTCCAATCTCATGTGTTGTAATATAATATTATTCAATATTCATTAGCATTGTTATAGGGGAACATATATAGGGTGCTCATAAAGACTTGGAATTTTTTTTAAATTCCAAAGGGAATTAACGATACCATATATTGTTTTGTCCCTCACAGATGTATTAAATGAAGTAAAAATACTTGAACAATTACTGATTAAAAAACAACAAACCTGGTTAAGATATATAAAGAACTGACTTCATAACAAAATTGTAAATAGACTTCAAGGACACCCTGTATAGTTACAACTTAAATTCAAAATGTTCCATCAAATTTAGTGTTTAGACTAAGAATAAGTGATGTGATATTACTGATTGGTGCATATCCACATTCACAAAGTGAAATCCCAATTATAGCACAATATTTAAATTATCAATAATATATGATTATTCAAATGAACCATTTTGGATACAATAACTCGTAATCACCAATTTAAAACGACCGGTAAATTACTTGGATGGTTATAAAGTTTGGGATAGAGTTTGTATATTTATCCTGGAGAAGAGAAAAGTCGATAAGACGGCTTTGATCACATGACGGATCACGACCTCTCGTCCGGTTACCAATCCATGTAGGGCTTGTTTGAATATAAATGAAGAGAAAAAGCTAAAAGAATGAAATCATGCATAATAACAAGGTGAAACGAGTAAATCGGTTAAAATAGAAAGTTGGTCAGAAGTAAATTTCAGTTTGTCCTGATGCCAGGTGTCATGGTGGGTTCGACGAAACTCTGAAAATGTCTTCTTCACTGTGCTCTGTGAGTAAAATATAAAATATTGGTCATCTGTTGGAGCAGCACAACAACGCAAGATCAGGGAAAATGTACGCCGAGTTTCAAATTGGCAAATATTTTCCTCTTGTAGTTATTTTCTTTGTTAAAGGATATTAAAAAAAGCAACACACGAAAACTCGACTGTTATCCAAGTACCCCTGGAAATCTTCTCGTGAACCCCTGGGGGTTCGCGAACCCCAGGTTGAGAACCCCTGACGTAGAGAATGAGTGAATGGAAATAAATACGAAAATAAAAAAAAAGTTTTAAAACGTAAATATCCAAAATAAGGCGGGCAATATCAAATCTAACAAATAATTTTATTTTTAATTAGCTTCACGCCTCCTCGAAAAATTAAATTGTCCATGTCCCCCTTGTGGGGCGCGCCCACCGTTTGAGAGTGAAAAAGTATTAAGAAGTGCAAACCCACTCAAGGTAATGAACAATGCCAATGATAATACTTAGTGACAGCTAAAGTAATAAAAGAAGAATAGGATTTTCAATTTATTCCAAGAAGAGAGGGAAGGTGATGAGATGGCTTAATCACACAGTGAAACCTGTTCCATCAATCGGTTATCAATCCGTGTCGGGTAATAGAATAGTTAACCAGTCATTTTTTTCAAATACATAGATTTGGCAGTGGAGGAATATGTATCTGACCAGCCGTTACGTGAATCACCCTGTTACGGCAATCCTCTCGCACATAGACCCCATGAGATTCGAACATGCAAACTCACGCGAATAACCAGATGTCAAGTGTGTGTCCCAGAGTTTCAAACACCGACCAATAGGAAACTAAATCTTAACGAAAACACTGAATAGCTTGGATGCTTTGAGAATCATCTCCCTTAGTTTTTGACATTATAAATCAATTGTTCCATTTGAACTCAATTTACCTTTATCACATAGTTTTCCGCCATATCCATCAGCACAAAAGCATGCACCTGATCCTGCAACTCCATTGTCACAGGTACCATGAACACATGAACATGCTGTAGGAATTAAACATGCAAATCAATTTTAATCAGAAATAAAACAAATTTTTTATCATAATCAGTTTTGATTTTCATGATTTGAGGAAATTCTGTATACAGGGGAAGCAAAAAACTTCCCTCATTTTAAGTAATTAAATTGAAATGTTAGGGATTTTTTGACCCACATTCACATTATTAAAATTCAAACTTAATCGAGCTTACCTAGCATCAAAACCATTAAAAAGGTAAAGAGTGTAAAAAGTTTTAATTTTTAACTCTTCGCTAGTGTATAATTTTAGGATATAAAAAGCATGATACAAATTTGAAAAATCCGCAAGCACAACAGTAATTTGGGCATGCAAATTATGTAAATTTTAAAATCTCTGTGCAATTACAATGTGCAAAAATTTTACTCCTTCCCCACCTGAGTCAAACCAGAGGGATTTCCAAAGCAAAAGCAACTAGATACACACATAAGTGTCTAGGGCTGGGCATTTTCGAATACCTGATGATTTCATAATCGAATTGAATATTTTTTTCGAATCGAATCTTGAATACTTGAATATATAATTGTATGCGACATTTTATCGTAATTAATATTGTCAACAAATGAGTTACTGAAAACATAGAAATACATCACTCAGACAGATTGCTAAGCGTTTAACACGCAATACGAAACACGTTTTATCAATAACTCACTAAAGAAAATAGTCATATGTAAGAATTACGTTGAAAAATATGGTTTCAATAAGACAAAATTTAAGGAATTCACCTCTACCATTGGCGGAAGAAAAAAACAAGATGGTGGCGATTCGAAACTTTGCTTTAAACCGATTCGAATAATTTACTATTCGATTTAAATATTCGATTTGAAATGCCCAGCCCTACAAGTGTCAGCCTGGAGCCTTGTTTGAATGAAAACTTCCTCTAAGGAGCCAGAATTTAGAGAATTATAGTAAAGCAGTATAGATGGAATCGAGCACAGAAGTTTTATGCTTGCAGGTTAAAGAAGTTGCGATTAAACCACATTACATAGTTTCTGAATGATAGAGGTAGGCAAGGCCAGAACAGAAAGATTGTTCTAAAACAAAGTAGCAGTTAACACATCAATGTCTGATTATGTAAATTAGTCAAAGATGGGTGCTCCAGAAGTGTGTGTACCATGGATGCGTATGGAGGTAACTAACTTTGTCCGCCTACTTTATATCAAGTTGTGTGAAGAGACTGAATCCTATGGGCAGATAGGCAGGGGTATATTCACTTGGCTAACAGAGACAGTCACGAACTCGTAATAGAACTAAAATAAGGAAAATCAGTATGAAATTAGGGCCTAACCCCAACCTGGTAAACATACTAGAGGAGTCAAAAACGAATAATACTCACTGCTTTGACAGGTTGATCCATAGAACTGCGGTTGGCTGCATTTCTCACAGACTGACCCAATTAAGTTTCCTTGACATGAACAAGTCCCATTTCCACTGATTCCATCAGAGCAGACACCTTTCCCACTACAAATTACTCCGTTGTTATCTTTGGGGCAACCTGAAAATAGAGTTTGATGTTTTTAAAATTTCTCTTATGTGAGAGGAAAATGTACATATACAGTGTGGAATAAAATAAGAAAAAGCACTTCAGTGTGAAGGGACATGAAAAAAATAATACTTGTTATCGAGCAGCGAAACCCCAGGCAGGTTCAAGCATATGGGCAAATTACGACCCGCGGGCCGGATTTGGCCAACCGAAGTGTTTCACTTGTGTCTGCTAAAATTACAATTATAGTTTTTATGGATATAAATTTTCGATGAAAATAACATCATAATGACCCAATTGTAAAATTGTGCTTTTTAATACTATATAAACGTTAGCCTGCCTAGCTGTTAGACCAGCCTTTGGGAATGAACTTTTTTATTCATATTTTTTCATAATGAGTTTTGAGCCTTCGTCTCAGCAATCAAGTCTATTATCTGTAACTGGCCCACTCAGAAAAGTAATTGGCCCATCCGGTACTAACACACAATGAAAGAAATGAATGAATAAAAATAGAAAATGAAAGTGAATATCATTAGGCCGTTTCATCGGTTTCAGTCTCCCTAAAGATGAATTTATAAATCCTAATCCAAATATTCATACAATTATATTTTCCATACCTTGGCAATCTTGACCCCAATAACCAGCACAGCATTTGCCCACTGTCACTGTTTGTTGGCATGTATGAGTGCATCCCCTTGCTGGCATTGTTTTTTCTCCGACTTGTACTTCATATTTACATCCTCTTGCCCCTGTCCCTCTTGATAACTTTTTTGAACTTCCTGGGCAACCGACCTACAATTTAGTATATAATTGAGTATTATATAGAACAAATGTGGGCAAGGAAATTTGCCACCTGGCGGGGCATGTGAGTGTGACGTAAAAAGTTACATTTTCGAACAATATTTACAGTGTTACAAAAGTAAATGCGGAAAACAATAAGCCTCGTGCCAAAACTAAATTTAATTGCAATCTCAACAAATTCATTGATCAATTTTCAAGTAAAACATCAAAATTAGGTTTTAGTTGGGTTGTGGCATCAACAGGCGGGACATATTGAAATACCCAACGGGCCGGATTTGGTCGCGGGCTGTAGTTTGCCCATGTCCGATATAGAGTAGTCAACTTCACCACTGTTTTTGGGTGCATGCATTCGATAATATTTTTATCGCATAAGTGAAATCGGAGTGAAAATATTGATCTATTATGATTGGAGGTAAAGGTGAGAGTTTTAGAATTTCAAATCAACATCAATTCAAAACAATTCAGACACAAGGTACAACACAGTGGCCATTGTCTCACATTGTTCAAAAGTTTCTCTTTAACTATTTTCTTTGCATTTAAAGCTTTTCCCAAACCATATCAGTCTTATTTCATATGGGTCACAGTTTTAGATAAACCAATCAGGACACTCCAATTCAGAATTTGGTTAAAAAAAATACTGTCTTAAAATATGGAATAGGCCTACCTAGTTGGAAGAAAGAAGCCTGCTCAAGTGGCAGAAATATGTGCCTGCTACATAGAAGGCCTTCAATCGGTAATTGAATATATATAACCATGGCATATCTACATCCAACTACAGTATAAAATGATAAATAAGTCTTACAACCTGTATTTGTTGAAAATGGTTAAAAGCTAAGAAGACTGCATGTTTATATAGGACTTGTTAAAGCTAACGATAAGAAGATTAGTCCTCAAACAGGTCATATACTCAGATATCAGAGCTTCACAGAGATGGATTGGAAATTCAGTATGTTATATAGGAAACCCAGTGTCCCAAATATCGTGTGTCACTTGTCACACACTTGCTCTCCGCCTGTACTGCAGTCGTACCACTTTGCCACACTTGTACCCCACTGTTTTAAGTTAGGGCACAAATCAGGAAAGTGTGGGGCACAACATTTTTGTGATGACGTATAGGCAGTCGCTAGTTAAATGGGGGGAGAGGGCTAAAACCAACAAAACATTAACAAAAACTGTATATACAGTTTCTTGTGTATAAACACTTCACTTTGCTTAGCCAGAAGTTATCCCATTATATTCTTACCTTTCTATTCTGCCAACAATTGACACAACTTGTTTTAAATATTTGAGTTGTTGTCGTATCACAGCGATTTTCAGAAATTGTCGATTCAGTGTCTGGAGCACAAAGAGATATAAAAGTTATAAAAAATATTTGGTTCTGCGTTTGGTGCATCGTGCTAAGCGTTAGGATTAGTACTTTTTGTGGGTTTGCAGGTTCGAATCCCGCGGGGAGAATAATTATGTGCGAGAGAACTTTTGGACTCTTTGCTGTGAAGTGGTTCACGTAAGCGCTGGTCGTGGGGATTTGCTCTATGAGTTATACGTCTTATTGGGTTTACTATTATATATAATTAAATACACTCAATCCACTACTAATCTAGCAATTACAATACATCATACAATAGAGTTTTATATTAATGCCGAGAGAGAGGAAAGTCGATTGGACGGCTTAATCATATGGCCCCTCGCCCGGTTATCGGGTATGGAAAAGATTATCCACCTTTTTGTTTCAGATGTATGGATTCGATTCAAACAGTTGAAATATAAATTGATACTTACATGATAAAATAAATAAAAATATGATAAACGTTAATTCCAGCGTTACAGAAATTCCAAAACTTTTCATAGATTTATTCATCTTATTTCTGAATGCGAGAAACATTCTTGGGTGTAATTATCCAATCATTGGAGACGAGAAGTTATCGGTAATTACTACAGATATACTATTCTGTAATCAGTAATAAAATAGTTTGGTAATTGTCAGGCAACCTGCGGCTCGCCAAATTAGGCCCACAAGAAAAAATTGTGCGGGCTCGCGGAAAAGAGGCAATTTTGAAAAATGGGCGACCCCCGAAACGAGCTATTAATTTATTTTAATCCAATCCAAATTCCAATTATATTGTGTTGCAAACCCTATCTTTGAGTCCAATTCATTATATATGGCTATGATGTCACAAAGCCATAACAGCAAGCTTGTGCGAAGCGAAAACGCATGTCATGAGATCAATAACCAAAATTTTTGTGCTTGCAACTACGAGAAAGCCTATGTTGAATAAAGTGCGACCCGTGGTTAAACCCAGTTATTTGCATCTGACCTTCCTGTATTAAAGGTCGCACACCCCTGTCATGAGTTATTCAAGAGTCTTGCTGCACAGTAACACAAATATATTTCTGTAACGTTTGTCTGACCAAAGTCAGACCTCTTCGGACATAAAATTCATCTACCATAAAAAAAAATTTACTTTGTGAAAAACCGATAAAATTGTACATATGCTACCAAGCTCAGAAAAACACTAAAACTCTCGAAATAACATACTCAATATAAATAATTTTTCAAATAACTGCTAAATTTTATCGTTTCCAATAAAACTAGGATATATAGATGTCCAGGAAATTTCACTCGGTATAATAGTAATAACAATTAATAATTTATTTGTCTTTGTTCCTTAATAAAATTATATTTATTGTGTTCTTATTGCGCTTGTAGTTCTCATTCATCATACAATATAATATATTTAATTTTACACTTGTTATTACTGTAAAATCGGGCGAAATTTTCTGGACACTGCTTATTTGAACATACGTACAAAAGTAATATTAAAATGAGTGGTATTGCAACGTCCAAATCTAGACCTAATATTGTATATATAACTCGAAGACCTCCAAGTAATATTCGACTTATATCAGTAAATTAACTCCGAAACATGGGCAAATGTAAGATTAGCGTACAATACTTGTAACAAATTAACCAATAATTTTGAATGGATTATATCAATGCTAAATATAATTTCTGACGTCATAAAATATTATAAATTCTAGAGAGTTCTAGCAAAAGAATTCGACCCAAATATTGAACGCAAGTGAATAATTCTCATGTGATATGATGAATCACCCCTATTTTACATGGATTTTGCTAGAGGTATCGAGCAAAGACTGTTTGAAATATGAAACCTTATAAATATGATCTCATCAAACAAAAGAGACAGCTAGCTAACAGCTAACGACTAACCTTAAGAGATAGAAGTGTAATTTGTTTATACTGATTTAAATTATTGTAATATATTGTCGAAAGAAATAAAATTGTACAAGTAAACCTTTCTGATCCTTGGCTGTACGCTCGTACTTTATTTGTTCAGGACATAATTATCTTGCGTTTCGACGCTGCAGCGATATTTTACTAACTTACTCTCAATGAAGTTCACTAAATGTGGAATGTTAGGGCAGTGAACACTTCCTCCTGAAAAACCTTCCATCTTATATTCTGTACGTTTCAAACCTTGTTGGTTTTGTTTGCTCTCCTGATTTCATAATCAGTTTTTATTTATTTGTTTTTATCAATCATTTTATCGCCTGTTATACTAATTTGAGGAGTAAAAAAAATAAAAATTTGATCGTGACTTTTTTTAAAAACCTGTATGTTTGACATCTACAGTTGTTTACTTGAACGCGAGCGGTTGTTTGTTTATCTGTTTATGAGCAGTTGTTAAAAGAATTCTGGGATATTTTGTACAAAGCCCCCACCCATCATGCGAAAAATGTGAGATTTGAGAAAACAACCCCGCCACGTTTTAAAATAACAAATTGATAATTACTCAGTTAGGGTTCGAAATGATTTGAAAATATGAATTTTCAGCGCAATTTGCATTTCTAACCCTAACCCGGTCAAATCGAATCATCATCAATTAATTACAATATGCTTGTCGTATGAGAGCACATGACGCTTTTAACAACTCAAGAATTATTCGCCAGACAATTTAAAATCAACCATAGTGATCTCCCGGTGGACAAAATCAAGTAGTGAAGGAAAAATGATAATGTCCTTCCTAAAGGTAACAATGAAACATTTTTGCACAATGAGTACATGATACTTCTGTTACTAGTATTGTTTTATTTAGGTGGATGTCTCGTGCAAAACCAAAAGCAATTATAGTAGGAATGCGAATGTGATCTCAAATCCACGCAGATACAGGGGTGGGCAGAGTTTTTTAGACCAGGGGCCAACAATTTTGCTCACCTAGACTGGCGGGCCATGTAGGTGTGACATAAAAAGTTACATTTTATGAACACTATTTAGAGTCTTACAAAAGCAAAAGTGGAAAGCAAATAAGCCTCGCGCCAAAACTATATTTAGTCGCATTCTAAACAAATTCATTGAGCTGTTTTTTAGTTGAAACGTCAAAATTTGGTTTTACTTCTGTTGTGGCAGCATCAGGTGGGCCAGATTGAATTATCCAACGGGCAGGTTTGGCTCGCGGGCCGTAGTTTGCTTATGTCAGCTCCAGGCGGATGTCTCAGACAGGTCCGAAAATAATAGCAAGGAAGGTAGGGAATTACATATCCTTGCAGATGGATTTTAACAATTTTTAGATTTCTCAATTTGCAAATCGCGGTAGCAACGCGTATGTTCAGACTTAATTGATCCAATGCCGCAAAATGATCGAATATTTGCATAAATTCCAGGAAATCTGAATCAATACTACGAATACTAGCCGCCATACAAGTAAGGATGGCGTATATATTAGTGAATTAAAAAACTTTAGAGTTGGCTGAACTGAGTATGCAATAACCCATATGCGTCTAATCGCAATTTAAAATTAAAATGTATAAACTTTTACAAGGTATGTAACAAAACAAAAATTCCCAGTCTTTTGGAGGGAGCTGAATCTGATGGCTGTGTATGGTCGTATCGCTCTCCATTGTATATATACCAAATAACTTTGAATACGTTATTGAAAATTTTTATTACTGTTGCAATGCTTGTTTTTCTGATTGACGAACAATAAATCTTTCTCTCTCTCCAAAAACTTGGTTATAGTAGTAGTCTTAAATAGTAGCGAGTACTACGCTTCCTCAAAGGTCTTTTCGGGAGAAGAAAAACTTTAAAACACGACTTAATCAATAATAGCGCAGATAGTAAATACCGACCCATAGTCATTTTAATCTATCAATCCACGCTAACGAAGTACATGTAACAATATTCTTGTTGAAAGCTCAACTCATGCGAACGATATATGACGTCATACCAAACACGTGATGCAGTTCTTCAAACTGTTATGAAACAGTTTTCCCTCAATTCAGCCGGAACCTTTTTCGAGTCAAGAAAAACTTCGAAAATGTCCTAATCAATATAGTAAATAAGGACCCAAAGACATTTTAGTTCATGCTAATTAATTTAATGTAACCGTTTTTTTATTGAAAGCTCAATCCATGGTGACGATATATGACGTCATAAATAATACGTGATGCAGTTTTTTTCCACCAACTGAAGCGTTAGATCAGGGTCGTCAAACCCGCGGAAGCATTTCGAGTGGCTCGCGATGAATTTCAGAATTGAATAAAAAAAATTGAGTAAAACCATTTTTCGAGTGATGTAGTATTCAAAGATGTGATACAAACGATTTATTTATTTTCATGAGATGCGCTCTGCCATCCCTTTCAAACGACGATCTGAAATTACCTTGGAGCTCGCGGCCATTGTCCCTGTCAAGGTTACGACTAGAGGCATTGGTTTGTTAAAGACTGTAATAAAAATGATCAAGCGTCTTGGCTTGTCTTTGGCGAAAGACGTCTGACGGCGCCCCATCAATGGTTGGGAAACAACAGTTTTATTGTTCTAATATTTGTGAAAGTTTGTTGTGAGGGCTTGTTGTTTTTTCATTAACCTGTAGTCAGCGTAGCAAAACCAGAACATAACTACCATGTTAAGTAGCCCGCGCAATTATTAGTGAACCACATGTGGCCCTTCGGCCAAAAAGGTTGGCTGACCCTGCGTTAGATGAAGTCATTTTAAACACGTGAAGCGGACAACCCGAAAAAATTCTTGAAGTTGTTTTCAGGTGATCGGTGATTGCTTCTCGAAAGCTAATAGATATTTTCCAATTGCACATTTTACACTTCCCTCTCATCTTTATGCAACCTCATTCGAAAGCTGGTTGTCCTTTCATCACAAATTATGATGTTACGGTAAAACTTACAAAGATATAGCTCCTTCAATTCACTCATCTTTCTGTTGAAACTCTTAGCGGCAAGTCCTTAAATTTTTGAACCATCAACAATAATCATCAAAGTTTTTCTATGATAATTATGAACACTGGTGATGGTCGTGGATTCAGTATCGGAAACTGACCTCTACCGGCTTTATAAAGGCACTCGGCGCCCTATATTTATTGCCATTCAAAGTGGGATTGACATTCAGTGAAAGATACAATATATTATCTATCAAAATAACAATTCTAGGTCTGAGTCGTCTGTTTAACACGAACTATTTGATTAAACACTGAGGCACTATTGAAAATAAGACTATGAAAACTTCTGCTGCCTCCTCCCCTTGGTGCTCTAAGCACGTGCTTAATTTTTTTTAATGATTTAATTCTACCCTGTCTGTCGGTTAAATAAGACTGTTAAACTAAAAAAATAAAGCTATTCCAACTCATTCATCTTTCTTTCAAACTTTCTCGCGCAAAAAATAAACCTTCAAACGTATTGAATACAATAAAACGTGACTCTTCCATGTGTGAGCAATTAAAACGTCCGTTCGCTGTTAAAAAAACGAAAGATGTGACTTCAATTTTATTATCATTAAAAATAGGTTATCATGAATCGAGCACAGGATATCACAACATTTGGCAGCCATTGGTGCAAAAACAATACATGGCTAAGATTTATAGCACGATTACATACAAAAGTCAGTGATTTTGCGATTTTTTAAAAGTCCTGGATCAATTATGAGAAAACTGAAACGAACTTTTAACTTTCCACTGGTTTTGGACAATTTTTATTGTCAGCTGATTAATCAATCATTTTAAACCGAGTAAAGAGAGATTGAACCGTTTTTTAAATGACAATTTGTAACATTTTTTCGCTTTTCTCTTGCGACGTTGGTTTAAAATAGGTAACTCTAACATTCGGAAAACGGAAAATACATTAATTAAACAGTGGGACAACTGAGGAAACGACGGGGAAATTCTAAAGAAGCAAACATGCTCTCAAAATGATTACATTTGTGTTTTTGTGCCGAGGTGATTATATCTTAATATTCTCTATTCTAGAGTTATATCTACCATTAAACCTAAGAGCAAACTCGCATGAGAAGAATAACCCCATTTTTATAATGACAAATATTCTACAATCATGCTCGCATTTAATTTCTAATATAGGGCATGTTACAATGAAATCAAGCTTTATTCATAAAGTAATAAGTGGGATATCAGAAATAGGCATTGTGAGCGAATACATATCGTTTGACATAAGCGCTGACTGTATTGTTCGGCGCGTGAATTTTCCTCGTACAAAATGAATATATTGAAAATATCACATGGTTTCGTTAGACATAGGCTTACTTACATACGTCCCGTTTTAGGCGAGACAGTCCCACTTTGGCGTTCTGTCATCCAGCACAATACACGAACATTAACAATCAGCACGTTCTCATTACTGTTGTTGCTGTGCAGACTGTAGCGTACCGATAAGCTTACTTACTAAAAGTGAATGCGTGATTTGGTTCGTTTCGTTGTTTCCCGCTAATATTGTTAGCGGATAATTGCTACATTTTGTTATGTGTAAGCCTTTTACGCCAAGAGGGTGCTGGTAAGCAGAACGTGAAAGCCGCTATCACATGTAAAATTAATACTGATTGGTCCGGCTCTAACGTTTACGAGAATATAACATTAAACAACGTCTTTATGTGGGGCTCCCGAAGTATGCGAACCAAGATGGCGGACATCGGAATGTAATATGTGTACTAGGTTAGGGTTAGGCCATAATTTTAGGTATAAATACTACGGGAGGCTCTTGGCTAGTCTTCGAACTGATAATAGGACTAAAATAAGGAAAATTGGAAAAAAATTATCGCCTAACCCTAACCTGTTACCCATGTTACGTTCCGATGTCCGCCATCTTGGTTAGGAACTGAATTATATGAAATTATATGACACGCAAACCAAAGTTTCTAACCCTAACCAGAATCACAAAACCGAAAGATCGCATACCAAGTGGCACCTGAAAAAAATTATTAAACTAGCCATTTACAACCCGAACAGAACCCCAATATCTTACTGCCCGTCTCAACAATTGTCAACAACTCCATCGAAACTCTTTCACCAACACATTTACTGCTTTATAAATTCTCAAAATCTTAATGTTGATTCACTCCTTTTCTTACCGCTTTCGACCCGCAAGAAATTTCTCACCTCGCTTTGTATGGCACGTAGATATAACACGTATCGAATATATGTCCCATTTCTGGCGTCTATGTAATGATTCGTATAAGTTGTACAAACTACAGAAGCCGCGGCGGCCCAATACAAGGTACGATTTCCGTTTTGTGAAGTCATAATGCTGAAAGGCGAATTCAATTGTTTCCCGTGAATCAGTTCCAAGCAGGTACGAGAATGGCGGTTTCATGGAACTGAAGTTGGTTATGAAATCGCAAGAAGACCTTTAACCGCTTCGGTCTATTTTCAACCGGGCACCCTAAGGTTATACCAGTACCGTTCCGCGAAGTTTTTATTCAAATTCCAGAGTCTATATTTATTAGGGCTGGACTTTTTCGAATACCTGATGATTTCAGCATCGAATCGAATATTTTTTACGAATCGATCTCGAAAAATTGGAAGATCTGTAATTATATGTGACTTTTTCACTGTAATGCGTCTTCCAGACACATAAATTACTAAAAAATTAAATTTTTCACAATTGTATTGTAAAAATATGGCTTCAATAAAATAAAATTGTGGAATTCACCTCGACTCATGGGCGACGGAAAATAATGAAATTGAAAACTGAACAAGATGAAGGCGATTCGAATTTTTGTCTGAACCGATTCGAATAATTTACTATCCGATTCAAATGCCAAGCCTTGATATTAATATATGTATGTTGTTTCAATAAATTCAAATACCTATTATTATTGCCACTATTATATATTGAACTTGTCACACTTTGATGAACATTTTGTTTTGTCAGTGTTAGGTTTTCTTTTATATATATTTTAGTTTATGTATAATTCCGTAAAAAGAAAATTAAACTAATAAATACTATTGCACAAGAGGTTTCTCATGTCTGGAATGTTTAATCGGGATTCCGTCGCATCAATAAGATTGAAAACCACGAAGCTATTGGTTCGCTATATTACGGTTACACGGTCACGATTATTCAATAGTATAGGTCAATTAATGCTCCGCAAAAACTTAAGCTCAATGGTCCCTCTCTATTATATACAATTCTTATTTCTTTATTATGCAGATATTGCTACATTTTGAGGGAAATAAACATGCATGCGTACGACGAAGTTAAAGTCAAAATTATTGTAAACGCGAAGCTCATTTCAGAGTAACTACGAATGACATGCTTACTTTCAACTGGTGAAGCATGTCGATTTTTATCGATATGCCGCTCATATCTGCCTTGTTTAAATAAATGAATTGTTTTGGGTATCGCAGTCATTTTTCTGACAACGTTTGGACCATTTTGATCTCTACCGGATTCCCTTTCTCTGTGTTATAGGCAGAGCTGAAGTTAAGAGCGAACACGGTCTTGGAATGCGTGATAATTAGCAAACCATTTTTTGTATTCTGTTCTGGACGTTAAAAACCCACAGCTAATGAGCAACGTGCACTTCTACTGATAGCTATCGTTATATTTGAGGTTCCGAACGTTATGTATCTGATTTATGTAACGATTTTTATGATAATGGAGCTTACATAAATATATTCTTTGAAATGAGGAAACTTGTTGCTGTTAGTAATTTCAATACAGAAGAGAATTCATTCTTAAAAGTTCGTTCCACAAACAGCGTTTGGATTGTTTAGACGTGTTTCCATTTGTTTAGTTTACCTAATTCTCTTCCTCTGGGTCACCGGGTCACGGTAAGTTACTGCTTCGACTGACTAGCGATACCACGTGCTTCACACTAAATCCCAAACGTGCACTGCAACAATAACTCGTTGAATTAATTTGCATTTAACAGTATATGCAAAGACAGGGAAATTTGATTGCAATAGAATTTCCAATGCCATTGAAATTGAGTAACGTCTAGATCAGGGGTGTAGTCGGCGGGCCAGGTGTGGGAAAATGAAGTACTCGGCGGGTCGGATGATTACAAAAAATACTTCGGCATCCAATCTTTATTAAATGCTCATGTTGTTGCTCTGGAATATTATACTGTCTACCTTGATACATTCTGGTTTAAACAAAGAAATATTCAAAACCTTTTATTTGGGTGGATTTGGATTAATCAAGAAAAGCATGCAGAGCAGAAAAGGCACGCATGCTGATTTTTTGGTTTCTGAATCTTGCGAGATTTGACGAAGCGCTTTCGCGATGAATCGGAACCAAAAAAGCAAAAAGTGTGATTACTCGGCGCCAAGACGTCGCCGGGCCATTAATACCGCACTTATCAAACACCAATATGACTGCGGAAGAGAAATTGCGTAATAAACCAACGTAACTTCGTCTTTTGGGCTTCGGTAAAGGGATTGAGACGGTAGAAAAACAACAAAATGAAATTTTCCACGGACCGACGGTTGGGAACCACTGATCTAAAGCAAATAGAGCTTTTATTGAGTAAATGAGTTCTCAATCAAACATGCCTTCCCTCAATAGTTTTCCGAGATTACATCGATTTTTTAAAAGTATTATTAGACAGACCAACTTTTCTAATAGTCATCTTCTGTGTGAAACTTAATCACTTCAGAAAATAGGGTGGGGGTTGACCTCCCACTCCCTCCCGTCAATACCAAAGCAATTTTATTTGTGTATTTTTTTCGTATTGATAACTGTTTTTTTTTTTGGTTGACAAAATAATAAATCTGTTTATGTGGATATGGATTATGTTTATGGAATGTTTACAACGCTTTCTGCTTTGAATTTATATTGTTTGTTTAATTAACAAGTGTGCTAACGCAATTATTTGTTCACCAAGGCAATTGTTTATGTCTATAAAATCGAGAATTTTTTTCAACCGGAGTGTTTCGTTCAAGCAGTGTTTTTCAAAGTTGATTGACCGGCGGCCAAAATTAAAAGTGGGGCTTTCGCGGGCCAGAAGTGTTACGAATATACACGTGCTCAAAATGTGATAAAGACGGAACAATTGTACTTATTTCACTAAAGTTCGGCGGGTCCTTTTCAATCGTTACGCGGGTCGTAATTGGCTCACGACCCGAGAAGAATGCAACAAAGTTACGCGTTTCGTATGAAAAAAATACCAGAGCACAAACAATCAATTAAACCAGATTTCTTTAATTAAATCACAAACACAACCCCAATATTTCATATCATGATAAAGAATCAAAAGTCGATATTCGTCTCAATTATGCGAAAAACTAGGGTCTCCTCTAAAAGATGGGGAATAACAAACAAGTCGATAGTTACAGACAGGATATCCACCCGGGGAGAAGATGAGTCGGATACGAGATCGGTCACAATTATTTGTTTTGAAAGCATGGACTTGATGGCGGAAGAAAAACCTGCCCCGCCATCAATCGCACTTACTCATCGATCTTCACGCGGCATAACCGGAGGTGCAATGGAAAACTTATTCCCAACGCTAAGCACGATGCGCCAACCGCCGAGAGTGCACGGTTGCATCGTTACTGATTGGCGATCGCACAAATTCCTATTATGTCAATTAAACTTGCTTTTTCATCAGAGACTTCGCGTAAACTATAAAAATCTAACCATCATCGAATAAGGAAGCAAAGGTCACCCTTGTATTGTCACTTTAATCGAGTTTTTGTACTTTATTGAAAGCAATAAAATTCATTCGGATTCATTTCCCCCCGTTCTATAAAAACCGACCAATACCTAAAACCAGCAAGATATATTTTACAAATACTGTCAATTAAGTTTGCTTCTACTTCTTATTCGGAGAGAAAACGAGCAAAGATAAATAAGCTTATGACCAAAATATAACTGAAAGTACAATACCAAAGATATTTTGCATTTTATCTGATTACGTTAAAAAGAGAAACTGTTTCATGATCCGACAAAATATTTTCATTACAAAGTAGAATTAGAATTAACACAGTCTCTGAACGAGCCAATAAATTTACACATGTGACAAGATATGAGTAGAAACAATGGCGCTCTAGGAGTGTGTACCAATAGGAGGTTATCTAAATTAGTTTGCCTGTTTTACATCAAGTTGTGTAAAAGGACTGAAACCTATGGGCCTGTACCTCCTATATTCATTTGGCTAACACAAACAGTCCCGAACTCGTAATAGAACTAAAATAAGGAGAGTCGGAATAAAATTAAGGCCTAACCCTAACATGGTAAACATACTACAGGAGTACAGAAGTAATAAATAAGATCTTGCTATACCTTTTATCTGATTACTTATGAAAAACAATTGTATGATTAAGAATAACTTGTACAAACTATTATTATCATTAGTGCTTTCAGTCACCGAACGCTGGAATAACGAGTTATAAAATATAACAGCTTACTCATTAAGCATAGTAAAAGTTTTGTTCTGATCATTTTCCTAATAGTTGATGATATTCATCTTTGAAAGTAGGAATTGTGAAGTCACATCACTGACAGCTAAGAGAACTGACTGAGTGATGAATTCTATGTTTTCGGTAATTTATGTGGTTGGGAGACCATAACAATAAAAAATCACATACAATTACAAACCTTCGAAGTATTGGAGATTCGAAAAAAAAACATTCGAGTCGATTCTGGAATCGTCAACTATTCGAAAATGCCCAGTCCAACTCATGTGTTGTAATATAATATTATTCAATATTCATTAGCATTGTTATAGGGGAACATAATATAGGGTGCTCATAAAGACTTGAATTTTTTTTAAATTCCAAAGGGTATTAACGATACCATATATTGTTTTGTCCCTCACAGATGTATTAAATGAAGTAAAAATACTTGAACAATTACTGATTAAAAAACAACAAACCTGGTTAAGATATATAAAGAACTGACTTCATAACAAAATTGTAAAGAGACTTCAAGGACCCCTGTATAATTACAACTTAAATTCAAAATGTTCCATCAAATTTAGTGTTTAGACTAAGAATAAGTGATGTGATATTACTGATTGGTGCATATCCACATTCACAAAGTGAAATCCCAATTGTAGCACAATATTTAAATTATCAATAATATATGATTATTCAAATGAACCATTTTGAATACAATAACTCGTAATCACCAATTTAAACGACCGGTAAATTAATTGGATGGTTATAAAGTTTGGGATAGAGTTTACATATTTATTCTGGGGAAGACGGCTTTGATCACATGACGGATCACGACCTCTCGTCCGGTTACCAGTCTATGTGGCTTGTTTGACTATAAATGAAGAGAAAAAGCTAAAAGAATGAAATCATGCATAATAACAAGGTGAAACGAGTAAATCGGTTAAAATAGAAAGTTGATCAGAAGTAAATTTCAGTTTGTCTTGATGCCAGGTGTCATGGTGGGTTCGCCGAAACTCTGAAAATGTCTTCTTCACTGTGCTCTGTGAGTAATATATAAAATATTGGTCATCTGTTGGAGCAGGGATGGGGAATCGGAGACGCAATTCGACCGACAAGGAAAAATTGTGAGGCCCGCGGCAAAGTGCCAATTTTGAATGGTGTACGGCCTGCAAAACGAGTTTTTACAATGGACAACTGTTCTACAGATGTGCTTTCAGTACCGGCTCTCCAGAAAAACCATATTAATAAAAAACAGCAAAATTTGGGGCAAATCAACAGGAGAAAAATGATAAAATAATAAGTGAAGGGGCCTCCTAAATGACGCCTACCCCAGCTACAGATAAGTTGAAAGAGTTAGCCTAGTAAAACAGAAGCGTGTTTTTCTGCCCCATGAGCAAAACGAGCAATCGTAAACTTCAACTATGTGTTTAAAATGAACTTACCTCAATCGGTTGTGGATCATGCAAATGGTTACTGAGTTGCATGAGCAGATCTGGCAGATATTCTGGTATTGAGTATGGCGATGATAAGATGCATGCACTCACTGCTAATACTCCAGCATGACGATTTCGTAACTCTGAACATAAAAAGAAAATTTCAGATTTTGTTCCTATTAATGTTTAGTTAAGTCAGTAATTCAGTGATGGGATTTACATCACAGGTTTCTCACAGATGCAAACCTGTTCTTGGCATTATGCCATGTCGGGATATTCAGCTAACGCCTTTAATTTTTTTTGTCTTAGACGTTAGGTGACCACAGCAAATGGGTAACGAAAGGTACTTTGTGAAGTCTTTCCTAGTTTAACCCAGAAAACCGCTCCAGACCCTCTAGAGCAGGGGTTCTCAACCTTTTTTCTGTCAATTCCCCCCCTTCGAGTCACGATACAATCAACGCGAACCCCCGGTAATCAGACACCGAACAAAGTTGTGATATACTGATATATTAGCTAACTATTTGTTGCAACACCAATTTATTGACCATATGTAGCTAAATTGAATCGTCTTGTTGATATTATTTCCCTTGTCGTCTGCCTAACTAATGAGTTCTTAAAATCTCTCCCAAGTTACAATAAGCATAATCACTTCTTTAATGCTCGCAGCACGCTGTCTTTACAGATTTCACAGTTTGTACACAAAGCCTTGAATTTCACATTGTTGTGTCATAATCACAACAACGCAAAATCAGGGAAAAACCTACGTTTCAATTGGCGTCTAGTTTCAATGGGCACGCATTTTCCCATGGTAGTAATAAAGTATATTAAAAAACAGCAACATACAAAAACTCGACTGTCATCCTAGTACCCCTGTAAATCTTCTCGTGACCCCAGGTTGAGAACCCCTGCTCTAAAGGAAGCTAAAGCTAAGTCAGAGAAACAATGGTTAAGATAGCAGTTATGTATTTTAACATGAGTCATGAGTTGGATGAAACTTCACAACTATCCTGAAGTATGGCTGCCGCTAGTCATTGTAAATAGAACCTCTGATCGTGGGCCCCAGAGAACTGGCCCAGTCCCTCTAGGGGAGCTAAGAGCCCAGTTAATGAAACTATTGGTGAAGTAGTAGTTAGCTTATCTACATAGAAGACTGGGCCCCGTTTTACAGTCAAATTACTTCAGAGCCGAAGTCAAAATTTTTCTTTGAACTTTAGCTGCGCGTCAATTTTTGGGTCAGAGGTAGAGAAATAACAGTGTCAAAGAAAAACTTACTAAACCAACTATCCCGAGCCACAAAGATTTTTATTTTTCCCACGAAATGAGAGGGAAGTTCGTTGAGTAAAATCGAGATTGAATCCTTATTCAGTGCTGATTTTACAAGTGGAAATCAGAGAATTATTCGGACCAGATTTTTGGAAAAATGATTTTTCATTGGGGTCAAGCTTAAAGGTTCAACTTGACTAGCTAATAAGAAGGCAAATTTGATCATTGACACTTTTAATGTTTATATTAGTAAAAATGAATTCTTGTAATACATCAAATTTGTTATGGGGCTAAGATTTATTTTGGTGCTGAAAACGGGCCACAGAAGAATCCCAAGAGGAATGTATGAATGAGATTGAAACAAGGTTTGGAAGCAAGCACTAACTTAGGTACTCCCGTAGAATGTGAACCAAAATGGCAGGCACCGGAATGAAGTATGTGTACCAGGTTAGGCCATAATTTCAGATACAAATATTACGGGGGTCACTTAGCTAGTCCCCGAACTCGTAATAGAACTAAAATAAGAAAAATTGGTATGAAATTATGGTACACATACTGTGTTTCGGTGTCTGGTTCGCATACTACAGCAGTACCCTAACTTGGACATTGACACTTTTACTGTTTACTGATATTAAACATTATTGAGACACTCAAAATTTAGTATTAGAAGATTCGTGACCCTCTTTTGGGGCTAAAATGGAGAACAACGAGTGAGAACCGCTGATTCAAACAACTTACTTTCTTGATAATTTTTGACAATATTTTCACTTTCCGGCTTCATTTTTTTGCTTCGTTTGACTCGAATTTTACAATTTTTATTGATAAATTCTTTCAATCTATCGTCAATAGATAGCAAACCGCATTGTAGGAGACCACTGAGTGTTTTCGTCGCCATTTCTCGTACCTGGTAGAAATAAAAATGGATTTCAGTTCATTAAGGTTTTTGTTCAATCCTATTTTTGAGGAAGAAAATCAGTTGAAAATATAGAACTGAGGTGTTTTTTCATAGTAGGAATTGAAATTGTGTGTTTCTATAAGTTTTATATTGCTAACTGCATTTCTAGTTCAGTTAGACGAAATATTAGAAAATCATATTTTAAATGAATGTGCTGTGCAATACAGATGACAAGAACAGAACATTTACTATTATTTAATGATGTAAATAATTATAAAAAAATAGAGATCGAATTAGCTGATGCAAATACTCTGTTTAAGTGGCTTTTCACAGTTTTCGAATATATGACAAAGCCAATTTTTGTGTTGCCAATTATCTGTAAATTCAGAATTTTTTATATTAAACAGAACAGTTCTCATGCTTTGTACAAACGACTTATCTTACCCTAAACTTATAAAACCAAATTTTTTTTTGTTTGGCATACAAAAAGGGAAGTAGCTTCCCTCCAGTCAACCGCAAATCTTCTTCGTGGCTCAGTTGCTCAAAGTATCGAGCTTCCAACCAAATGTATTGATAAAAAACCTCAGTCACGCAAGCTATATCAAGTTTATTCATATGACAGATATGTCTAAAAAGAACCCCGATCGCATCATATTTTATTTCATTTCTAGGTTCTAGGATATTTGCATTGTTTTACAACGAAATGCTCTTGCGGCAAAATTTCCCGTGGTGAATTTCCCAGACACATTTTTATGATATGACTATTGAATTCATTCTTCATTTTTTTACTATAAATCGGTATTTTTTCACCACTTTCAAGTTATTCATTTGGTTTCTGCAGGACTAACTACTTATTCTTCTTCTATGCTTTTGTGCGGGCGGACCCGTATGCATATATTGCAAGGATGCTGTAGCAGGAGTAAAGATAACTATCCTAAGTGATTCAAGAGTCTTGCTGCACACTAACACAAATATATTTATGTGGCGTTTCGTCTGACCAGATTTCTTACATACTGTATTTCCCCGAAAATAAGACGAGTTCTTATTTAAATTTTCTTTCGAAAAATAACACTAAGGCTTATTTTCGGGGGGGTGTCTTATATTTTCATTTATCATAAACAAAATTAAAAAGTAGAGAATTACGAGATTTTCAAATATACAAAAAATGAAAAACAATATCCATTTACTTAAATAACCTGTTTTCCTCTCTCACACGTATTAGATTAAGAAATTTAAAACTTGTTCTTGCCATCGCCTAGGTCAAAAAATATTTCACGCTTTTGACTAGGTCTTATTTTAATGAAAACATGATAATTCAATTATCTGTCCGACGAAACATTACAGAAATATATTTGCGTTAGTGTGCAGCAGACTCTTTGAATCATATAAGTCAGTGGTTCCCAAACTTTTTGGAGTTGCGACTAGGGATGTCCTTATCGTTTCCGTTTTCGTTTCGTTTTCGTTTAGAGCTGTATTCGAATAGTTTTTTCCAATTTCGGTTAATCGTAATTTAACATGTATGAAACTTGCGACGTCGCGCACGATCTTTTTCGGTATTTTTTTTTTCAAAGTACGTTAGTAAGTGCTGAAGCGTCCGTCGCGTGAACCATAGTGACCTCTGCTTTCTATCAAGCGTGACGAATCGGGCATGTCTGGGCATGTCCAGACTTGTGCGATTATTGCCGACAATCTGATGTTGACGGTGCAGGCAACCGGTACGGTACCGGTATCTGTGTTATGGAAGTGATTAGTTTTCTATTGCGAGTTTATCATAACTGCATAACGCACGGTGGAAGTTTTAAAGGTAAAGATGGGTACGGTGTCGTTTGGTTGAATAGCAGTGCAGCAGTACCGTACCGGTAGCCTAATGGAATCGGAGTTTATCTGTGCCAGTAGGCTACGGTACTAGTACAGTCATACGGCACTGTGCCGCACAACATGAACATTATGTGTACCAGTTTAGGGTTCAGGTTGTGAGCCATGCACATACTTCAGGAGCTCTAAAAAGGATCTGTGGTCCCTGGAGCTGTAGCCAAAGCCACTGTGATTAAGAATCAGCTTCCCAGTCCTGATTAGAAGCTTGTGATGACAACAGTATGTTTTCTTTAATTCAGAGAAATAACTTTCTCAGAGAATGCTCCAGTGATTCGCATCAGTTTAGTTTGACAGACTATGTCACATGTTCATTTCACCCACTTATGTTGGGAAATAAAGTTACTGAAACACTTGCAGACTTGTGAAGTATTATTTTGGTTCTAGTAATTTAGTTTAAACGATATTCGAAATGTTTTTTCAGAAGCATTCTAGAATAGTTTAGTATTCGGATACGGACATCCCTAGTTGCGACCCACTATTATTACCACAGCTTATGGCGACCCATTTAATTTTTATGACATGACATAGAACACAGCAATGGCTAATCCTCGTAAAACTACCGTGTTTCCTCGAAAATAAGACCTGGCCTGAAACTGAGACTTCGAATTTTAAAAATGATTTTAATTAAACCCTACCCTTAAAATAAATTTAAAATGTGTGGAAGAGGAAAGATTCAATGACCTGAGGTAAGGTGAAGATCACACCACTATTCAAGATTGTGTTGTGTGATGTCACAATCACAATTATGATATTTGTCACTTGATTTTTTTTATAGGAAATACAAACAATAGATGTCGGTTTTTATATAATGTTTACATAAAAAATCTCGTGCTTTCCTACAATGTAATTTTATTTTTAATGTATGAACACAACAGACCTCTTCCAAAAAAAACACAGTGTTATTCTTCAGAAGAAAATAAATCTAAATCCTGTCTACATTTCAGGGAAACACGGTAAGAAGCGCTGTACAGTGGACAAAACTGCCATGCGTGAAAAAAAGCGACATTGTCATTTTTTGTGTAGCAAATTTTTGTTTCTTTGAGAAAATCGTAAAAAGGAAACTTTCACAGATTAGAATTTAAATTCAATTTTTTTTTTTTTGAAGATTTACGTAGTCGCCAACGATTCTAATAACCAGTATAATTAATCAAAGTTCCTACATCTTTTCACGACCCACTAAGATTCCTTTAGCGACCCACCAGTGGGTCACGACCCATAGTTTGGGAACCGCTGATATAAGTTATTCTATCTCTAATCCTCACCTCCAGTTGATCGTCAGCAACCAACTTCAGAATGATCTCCTTAATTAGAGCAACGCAATCTTTTTTCTCTTGTAATGTGAACAAGTTATTGAAAATAAAAATCTGAGAAAACTTCAATATTGTGTGCCGAGCATGCCACGAACTGCTTTCTGAAATCTGAAAAATATATCACCTTTTATATAATTTAGTGAAACATGGATCGCTTTGCAAAAATGTCACTGTTCTCGCTTTTTTCTGCGACTATAATCAACGTTCCAGAAGTGTATGTATTAATAATTATGGTATTATGTACCAACCTGGTACACATACTACAGGAGTACCGGAAAAATTGCTTTACTCAGTAAATATAATCAATCGTTTTTAAATTTCTGATTTTTCATCTGTTATTCAACTTTTCATCCATACTATGTATAAAAACACTTTATTTGTTTAGTGAATACTTGTTACGACCAAGACACACTCTCGTTTTTAAAAAATTCAATTAAATTATAATGTGTCACAAATAAGTATAAAAGTAACAATCAAAAAATCTAATGAATACTATAGCCATGCAAAATTTCTCCCCAAAAACGGCAAAATTCATCTCTGGAGAGGCATTTCCCCGACTAAGAAATGCTGGTTTAAGACTTATAAGGATTTAACAAATAAACACCTGTCCTATAGTTTCCACAACGAGTTTCAACTGATCCGGTGGGATGTAGCTTTGGGCCAAACATGATAAAGATACTCGAGTATCGTGATGCAATTCTTCGTCTGAACCTTGGGTGTCAACAGGTGACATCTGAGTGTGAGAAGATAATTGTTATGGTTTGTGTTGATTATCTTATGTACAGGGTTTTCATGAAGTCCCTTTGTTATTTCAGTTATAAAGTCAGTTCTCAATATATCTTAACCAGGTTTGTTGCTTTTAGACAGTAATTTAAGTATTTTTACTTCATTTAATACATCTGTGAAAGCCTAAACAATATATAGTATACTCAAATAAATACGGTGTATATAACATCTGAAATAATTAACTGGTGAATGATCAACTCTTGCCTACAGAAGGAAAAAGACAGTTTAGTATTGCCCAATTCTGAATCATGTTCAACCTTTCGTGTATTTTTTGGTGGGTGGGCACATTCTTGTACGTTTTTTAACTTTATTTTAAGTTATGATTGCCTCCCAGGTATCTCTGCATTTTGTTTGTCTGTTCACTTTTTTTCTTGTCTATGTCGGAAAACCGAAACAAATTGATTGATAGCTTTGGCTGATAGCAACACCTTGTGTCCCATCACTAATTCCTTAATTAATAACTCGCTAATTATACGACATAATTCATCCAAAATCAATAGGCTTCTGGTCCGAGATATGATGAATGCACATGCAAAATTTGGAGCAGATTCAACCTCGCTTTCGTACGATATCGTGTAAAATACGAAAGTGTCTAACAGAGAAACAAACAGACAAATACCCAACATACTTATCAAAATCCATAAGCCGTAACAATTACTCAAATGTAAGTGGCTATTAAAACCCTGGGAAAACCACTTAAGAAGCAATATTCTAGTTTTTACTAAGAAGAAGCCAAATAATTATGAATGATGCAATAATTCAGTTTATGACGAAATAAAAAAAATTGAAAAGGAAAAACTTTGTTTTGACAAATTTGAATCACCCTTAATGCGACCGATATTCACTGCTCCCAACTTATACCTATGACGTTTATTAGTGAGTAGTAATCGCAAAAATACACGTACTTTACATATGACCGGCAACAATTTTAGGGTAGCTGCTATTGTTGGTTGCAGGCAAACGCGCTGAGCACTTATTATCCATTTCATCAATGTTTTTAAAAGACGAATTGCCGAACTTCTCTCTTCATCAACTATCCCTGTACCTCTGCCACTAGAAGTTGCTGTGGAGTCATCAGATTCCAATTCGTCTCTGATACCTGGAAATATAATTTTTTGGTTCCCAAATTAGAATTTTCATATCTGTCCCAGCGCAAATCAAGAATTGACTTCGAAACAAAAAATGCTCAGAACTAGTGGTTCTAGGAAAATTCGTTGCATAGGAAAAAAATCGCTGTATGAAAAATCGTATCATTTAAAAAAGATTTGATATTTATTTACTCTAACGCTATAAACCTAACTCTTTTAATCACAAATACTTGTTTTACAGCAAAATGCTTTGCGATTTTTCCTACTCGACAAATTTCCTGCGGCAAGATTTCCTACAGCGAATTTTCCGGACACGGAACTAGTACCTGCGTTTGACTTGGGGCTTTGTGATCTTCTACCGAATGCAATATCTCTCAACAGCTCTTGATTGACACCTGGTGGTATAAATTGCTGCTGGTGCTCCATGAATTGTTTCAACATCATTTCTTTGTCTGGAGAAATAATTGAATAATAAAATAGTTACACATTAGAATGGGCCTACCCAAAATTTGCTAATTTACAATGGATCCATTTAGCGGAACTCCCGTAGTATGTGTACCAGGTTGGGGTTAGGCCATAGTTTCATTCCAATTTTCCTTATTTTAGTTCTATTATGAGTTCGGGGATTGTCTGTGTTAGCTAAATGAATAAACCCCCTACCCATAGGTTTCAGTCCTTTTACACAACTTGATGTAAAGTAGGCGAACAAAATTAGTTACCTCCATATTGGTCCATACACACACTTCTGGAGCACCCACTAAGCAGGTTATATACTTTGGTCATGTAAGTATCGAGTCCAAAGAATAAGTTCAAAACAGAATCATTTACTTGTGAAGGTTTTGTAAATTACAGTAATCATTGAGAAAGCATCGGTCAAAAGCAGAATTAGGTTTACATATTTATTCCCAGTAAGAGGAAACCCAGTAAGAGGAAACCCAGTAAGAAGGCTTAATCATAAGGCGAACCAACCACGGCCTATCGTCAGGTTACCAGTCCATGTCGGGTATGGGATTACTTAGCCAGTTTTTTTTGTTTTCAGAAGCATGGACTTGGTGGTGGAGGGAGCTCTAACCGACCAGAGGTTACATGAACCACCCTACTGCAAGGTGCACATAACTACCCACACAGGAAAATTGAGGTGTGGTAGCGAGCATATTCCCAACGTTACACCGCCAAGGAATGGCAACATGGGCAGGCCAGATAAAATACTCTCATTTAGACAAACTTAGCCCACAAATTGTAGTCAGCTCATGTCTGCTAAAAAGTTTAAATCAGGAATCAAAATCGATGTATATGACCAGTGTCACCAGTATTTGAAAAACATTCTTAGTCACAAATATGCAACGATACAGAACCAACAATTCCGAAAACTGATCTCAAACAATAACTCGTCGATGGGACAGAAAAACACTCTTCTCTTTAACTACTGGACTAATCCTTTTTATATCTTTAGTAACTGGCGGAATCCACTTCAGAAGGCTACTACACTTCATTTGTTTTTAGAGTCTGTTAATTTACCCCAAATTTTTCTGTTATTTTTTAAAAGGGTACTCCTGTAGTATGTGAACCAAGATGGCAGACACCGGAACGTAGTACGTATACCAGGTTAGGGTTAGGCCATAATTTCAGGTACAAATACTACAGGAGTCACTTGGCTAGTGCCCAACGCCTAATAGAACTAAAATAAGGAAAATTGGAATAAAATTATGTCATGACCCTAACCTGGTACACATACTACGTTCCGGTGTACCGTAAAAGTGATAAATACCTTGATTGGACAAATCGCCATCAGATGAAAACATTTTTCTTAATCCTTGTTGTAACTGGTTGATCACCTGTTCAGGTATGTCCGAATCTAATAATAACGGTGGTTCAACTTCTGATATATCAGATGCAGCAGTTGCCATGACAACATCCTCTGCCATTTCAAAAATTGGAAATTCTGAATCAAAATGAAAAATTATATTTAGATTTTATATTAAAAAGGTTAACTACATTTCCCATCCGAGGATGAATCTCCCCATAGAGAATCATAGATATATATTAGCTCGCACAGCACCCATGATGCAATCATCATAAGCAAGAACAAGCAGATACAAAATCAATGAAGCGTAAAACAATAACAATGAAAGAAGCAAACAGGCAGTGTTGCCAGAAATTGACAAAACGAATCAATACAGAATCAACAATAACCATACTTATCAGCAATCCACCCTAAAACTGATCAAAACAATGTATTACAAGCCAACCTCTAGAACATGCTCCTGCTATATCAGTTTCTGAAGCTTTTGATCCGATGTGAGTTCCTTCCTTGGATATCGGTGAAAGACGATGAAATATTCTTTCAATAAAAGCTTCTCGTTTCGGTGGAAATCTTTCATGCTCGCCAAGAATTGTGACATCGTAGTAAAATATACTTGCCAGAACACTGAAAAATATGACAAGACATAATTTTAATCTAACAATAAGAAAAAGGAAATCAATTGCGTTCAATAGTAGATCTAGGTTTTCTTCAAATTCAACTTCCATCAATTACAGACAATCTGACGTTGTGTCGGTTGTGATAAACATCGTAATAAAATATACTTGCGAGAACACTGAAAAATATGACAAGACATAACTAACAAAAAGTAAAAAGTAATCTCGGAATAAAAAAGAACTAAACTAGTTTTAAGTATAAAGAAATACAGATTAAAAAACAGAATTCAGAAATTTCTTAACTACTTTACAAAATTGAAACTAGAATATCGATTAGAAACCGAAGACTTATCGATCGAAGGTTAGGGGATCCCCCAAAACAGTAGTCTTACTCCACAGTGACACCTTGTGCCCATCACTAATTAATTAATAACTCGCTAATTATAAGACATAATCCATCCAAAATCATTAGGCTTCTGATCCGAGCTATGATGAATGCACATGCAAAGATTGGAGCAGATTCAACCTCGCTTTCGTGAGATATCGCGTGCATCTAACACACAGACATACAGACAGACAATGCCTATCAACATACTCACAGATCTAAAGATCGATAAGTAAAAACTTCATTTAACACTTGAAGTTCTGTTTTCTGTGTATATTTGTACTCGAATGTTTCAGTAAAAGTGGTTAAAGCTTTGAAGAGAAGTTATGTTCTCCCTAGAATATGTCCAAATAATTGTGTTTTTTATTTTTCTGAGGGGGGCTAACCCTGTACTTACCACTCATCAAATGTGAAACACAAACAAGGCATTCAACATCGCTGGATATTAATAATTCATATTACCTTCCCATTCTGTCTCTGACGTTTTTATATTGATGGTCGAGTCGTTCTTCGATAACTGTCAACAATCTGTGAAGTATTTCTGAAACTCTCCATTCTTGTTGATGCATTCCACCCTGAAGAAATAACTCGTTTATAATAACATAAATCCCACTCCAATTTCATTTCTCTTTATTGATAACAAACTCAACAATTGAAAACCATTATTTATGTACATGCTCTCATAGTTGATATAGGCTTGTCTGAGGAAGTCATTGGTCAGAGGAATGTTACACAATACGTTTGTGTTAATGTGCAGTAAGACTCCTGAATTAAATAGAATTATTACTACGGCATTCTTGTATTATAAAATCCACTTGCCCAAAAAAGCAAGAAAATGCAGTCAGTCGCGTGTAACCCCGACAGATAAAATCAAAGATAAGTATACCATCATACATGGGAGAAATGACTTTTCTGTACAAGACATATTCCTTACTTCTAATCAATTTTCTTTAATCTTTTCCCATAAAATCAATATATGTCATTAAATCAAAGTCCTTTTTCCCAAATACTGTCCAAATTTGTAACAAAAATTTCATTTTCAAACCTGTATTAAATACAGTCTGGTTGCATCCATGAATGAACCGCCTTTCCCACTCAATGGATCTTTCATCAGGAATTCAAACAACCAATGAAGTTTACGAGGATCACGATTTTGCTGCAAAGGAACAAAATAACAGTCTCGTTCTTGATTTTAACAAACAATTTTTTAAAAATAAAGTTATTTTGAAGGGCTATGGAATCTGGGGAAATTTACACACAACCGCAACTCTTGAAATATTTAAAAAACAACTCTAATTATGAAAAATTCAATTCCTGATTTTAGGGCAATTTGATCTGATATTTTGAGCAATTAATGTCTGGTATAGAGCACGAATTCAGAACAATTCAGGTTACTCCCGAAGTATGTGTACCAAGATGGCGCACAACCTGAACATAGTATGTTTACCAGGTTAGGTTTATCAGGCTGTGCGCCATCTTGGTACGCATAGCGCCTTCCCAATTCAGTACATGCTGGTCAAACTGTTGAGTATCAGGCCTTCCTTTCCACTGTTAATCTGACTAATTCCTCTTAGTAAACACAATATATATTTTTTTTAACAATATTTTTAAAATAAAGTGTACAGGCATTGTTGCCAGAAACAAAAAAAAAATAATACGACATCAATACTTACAACCATATGTCCATATGCCAGATCCCAGTCTTTCAGTGTTTCAACACTCATGTTATCAACAGTAGATTGAAGAACAGGGACCAACCATTGCCAGAGAGAATTAACCTGAAAAAAGTTAGGTAGATATTGAAGTAAAATGTCAGTAGAGCGAAGTTTTTTTAATTTTTTTGGCAGAGCGAAACAACCTGAAAATATTTGAGTAGCTATCAAGGAAAAATGTCAGTTGATCATTGGTTATCAGCATTTTCAGAAGAGTGAAACCAGAATGAGACATTTCAGAGGCTTGAGAAACCCTTGTGCAATAGTTTAAATTGCATGAATCGTATACTATAAATACATATAAGAGCAAACCTAACAACACAAAATGATGATCTTCAAAGGGTGCTTCCGTAGTGTATGTACCAGGTAAGGCCATCATTTTATTCCGATTTTTCTTATTTAAGTTCTATTACGAGTTCGGGGACTGTCTGTGTTAGCCAAGTAAATATAACCCTGCTTAAGGTTTCAGTCCTTTTACAAAACTTGATGTGAAGTAGGAAAACAAAATTAGGTACCTCCATATTGGAACACACACTTCTGGAGTGCCCTTCAAAGTGTAGCAAGTTTGATAATAGTGGCAAACCTAATTGGTAATTGATTATATTCAAACAACACACATTAAAATAGACTCTTGAACTTGAATGCTAAATTGCGGAACCCTGATTGAAAAACACTGCAGTAGATAATTGAAAACACTCTATATTATTTAAAAATACTAAACATTCCAAAAGGATATTATTGTAAGATATACTATATTCTAGGATTCTTCAAATCTGTTTCATTCATTCTATTAATGTTAAACTTTTATGTCTTGTTTCTGTTCTAGAGAGGCCAAATTCAAAGCTGAAAACCTACTTTCAAACTAATAAAACTTAGCCGCACACTAACCCAAATGGTCAAATGAAACGTTACAGAAATATATTGTTACAGAAATATATTTGAGTTAGTGTACAGTAACACACGTGAATTGCATATTATGATATTTTTATTTCTGCTACAGCATCCTTGCAGTATACACATACGGATCAAATTGTGTGAAGGTATAACGCTGACATGGGCAAACTACAGCCGCTGATATTGCGATCAAATTTAATTCTGGCACGAGGCTTAATGTTTCCTACTTTTGCTTTCATATCACTGTAAATATTGTTTATAAATGTAACTGATTATGTGACCCTTACACTGCCCGCCAGTCCAGGTGGAAAAAACCTTGGTCTCCCCTGGTATAGAGCGTAACCCAACAGATAAAAACTGATAAATCACTAGAAAATTTCGATCTCACCTTTTCAAAGTTCCAATGCTTTGTTCCCATAACAAGCCCAGCTGTTAATTCTGCTACAGCACGTTGGCTACTTTCATGAGAATCCTTCGATAATTGTTCCAGTTCGTTACGAAAATTTTCAAGAAAAGAGTCTGCAAAGTTGCGGAATAATCCCTGGAAAAATAAAACAATTACTATATCATCAGTTCAACTTGCATCTGGGGTTTAGAGGACAGGATGACAAACCAAAAAATGTTGAAATCAGATTTGAATATTCAAATACATTCAAAATTGGTTATTATTTGTAACAGTGAATTTGATGGGAAATTCGAAAAATTCATGGTCTATAATTGAAATCAAAAATACCTGATTTTATGAAAATTTCATAAAGATTTCACTCAAAAATTTGTAACTTTGTTCATTTGAAACATGATTGTCAGACAAAATAAAGACTTCCCATAACTTTGCACGCTGTCAATTATTATCAAATTCTGAATCAAAGTTTCAAAATAACTTATGGGAATGGAATATCCCAGTTGATTATGACCCGATATTAGATACATAGTTTTAACATTTTACCAAGTTATGATTTATACAAATTTTAAAATGTAAATACCCAGATGGGATCAATTTCTGTAATAAAAAAAAATTGAATATCCGCTGATTTTAGGAAAGTTTACCTTAAACATTTCGACTCTTTTCCCATCGTATTTATCTTTTCCTTTCACATTTTCCAGAGCGTGAAGTTTCATAAGTTGAGAAACAAACGCAGGATCAGAAAAATATTCAAATAATACTTTTTCATCCTGAAATAATATGTAATATATCCTCATTTATCGTCAAATCTAGTGTCATATGAAAAAAAAATCCTAAAATAGCACCACTAGGATTCTTCAGCCAATAGTCATACCAAATCCTCTCGTCCGGTTACAAGTCCATGTCGGGTATGGTATTAGTTTGCCTATTGTTTGTATTCCGAAGCATGCACTTGGTGGAAAGAGCCTTAACCAAAGAGAGTTTACCTGAACCACCCTATAATGATGAGAAGCCCAGCAATCATCTCGCACATGGGTTTACTCACGCTATAGCGTGGTGCTTTGCTTGTTTTATTTAAACTTGTTGGCAAGCGTATTCTTAATGTTTAGCATGGTATGATAACCCACGATGCGCTTTTCTTCTATGTCTCTACAAATAATCTAAAGCTCATCTCAAGTCAACTATGCTCTTTTTCAAATCTGAAGCAAAGTCTGCCTGCTGATTTAAGACTTTTAATGGCAAAAAGAAAAGTCAAAAGTTTCCACAGAAACTCGGAATGCATTAACTAGATTAAGCGTTATTACGAATTTATTAGAAGGCTAGTAAGGCCAACAGATTTTGTTATCAAAATTTGATTTTCTCGTGATTCAGAGATGAAGGCGAGTCAAGTTTTCACGAACTAACTTTTGTTCGAAGTCGATGGTGGATTTTTCCGGAGCTTCTGAAGTATGTGCACCAAGATGGCACACAACCTCATCATAGTATGTGTACCATGTAAGGGTTCAGGTTGTGCGCCATCTTGGTGCACATACTTCGGGGGGCACCTTTTTTAATCCCCGACATAAAAACCTACCTCTGGCATTTCATCCACAGTTCTATCAATTTTATAATCATCGTCTTTCAGCAAAGCATAAGTTTTTAATTTCTTTGGCCACTGATAATACCCCCAATGAGTTTTCTCAATGAATATTGTTGAGTCATATTCTTCAGCAGTTTTTGGGAGTTTTGTTGAGTCATACTGCATCCATTTATTGTCATGACGATCCCCAGGACGGATAGAACTAGTTGAAACCGGTATTCCACCTGTTTAAAATTAATGAATGTTGAAACTTGAGTAAACTGCCTAGTTTGTTCCTGACAAACCTCTCCGGTCAGTCGTAGAATTTTTGGGCCGCATAATGGCTTAGCGGTTGGGGCGTTCCACTCGTCCTCAAACCAGTGAGCCATGGCCCACTGCTGGGCCACAAATCATTTTCAGTTGGGCCACAAACCCATTAAAAATAGCAAGGGTTATTGATAAATTCATTTCATCTGTGATGAAATTTTCATCGAAATAGCAATAAATGAGGCTGATGTTGTTTGTTGCAGAGTGGTTATTTTCGTGATAATTATTAAAGTGAAAGTGGGCATTTGTGCATTAAAATTTTTGTCAATGGAGCACAAAATTTTGGGCGCTCGATAAGTATGTGTACCAATATGAAGGTAACTAATTTTGTTTGCATACTTTACATAAATTTGTGTACAAGAACTGTAACATATGGACAGGGGGTATATTCACTTGGCTAACACAGACAATTCCCCAAACTCTTAATAGAACTAAAAGAAAGAAAATCTGAATAAAGTTAGGCCCTAACCCCCATATGGGTCACAGTTTTAAAAGAACATTCCAATTCAGAATGTGATTCGAAACAACCCTACCATGTGGCATCAATATATGCACGCTACGGAGGAGGCCTTGATAATTGAGACATATAACCATAGCTGCATCTAAGATGGCGGACACCATAATGTAGTATGAGAAAATCAGAATAAAATTTGGCTGACAAACCTGGTACACATACTACGACAGTACTCAAAATATGTGTTTCGAAATAGGCCATGAAAGTAATAAGGTTGAAAACCACTCCTAGACTTTATTAACTGTGCCATAAGAGTATGAATTCTCTTTTTGACCTGGCCATGGTTCGTCAACCCTGTCTCATGCATGAGCAGGAAATATTGTCTCACTAAATCAGCCATTTTGACTCACCTATTTCCTCAGGAGTCAGCATGACTCTTTTTCTTTTCCTTTGTTGTATTTTCAAAATAGACGCCATCGCTATAATACAAACTCTGCGAAACGATAACGCATCGTCAATCAATCCTGATGTAAAAAATCTGGCCACTCGAGGGTTCAAAGAGGCATCCCAACGAAGCATGAAAGACAAAAAACCAGAAGCAAGATGCTTGTAACGCCACGACCTAAAAAGCAATATATTTAATGTAGTTGATGGACAAAAAGTTTGAGAAATGCCATGTTCCAGGTCATATTGAAGTAATAGAAACAGGATATATCAAAGTGTTCTCTGCTAAAGTGTCAGCCTTACTTTCTGGGGTTCAGCTGAGGATTTATTTTATTTAGATTTAGTATTAGCACTATAATAAAAATGTGTTCGACAAGCTAATCAGCTTGTTCATGAATAAGTAATATAGTAATTAAAATAAAACTAGGGAACATTATTTGGTACTCCCGAAGTATGTGTACCAAGATGGCGGACACAGGAACGTAGTATATGTACCAAGTTATGCCATAATTTTAGTCCAATTCTCCTTATTTTAGTTCTATTACGAGTTCGGGGACTAGCCAAGTGACTTCCATAGTATTTGTACCTGAAAATATGGCCTAACCCTAACCTGGTACACATACTGCGTTCTGGTGTCCGCCATCTTGGTTCACATACTTCGGGAGTACCTTTGTCTCTGCCTCTGCTGTTTGGGGAATGTATTTTCCAACAAAAATTTAGTGCGAAAACGATCCATATATACACTAAATGACTAATAAACTCGAAGCAAATATACATAAGTTCATCGAATTCGAACAGCTGACTAGAAAATAAACTCTATACTCACAATTTCCCATTTTCCACAGTGTCCATCAAATCATCTACCAGCTTGTTATACAACATTAGGTTTTCTTTATTTTGTTCTCGCAATCTTTCTTCAACTCCTGTCAATGTGATTTCACCGACTTGGGGTTGGCTCGAAGATTCCAACATGTTTTCTGCTGCCTTTACTGCTCCTGGACTGACCTAAAAGTTGGCAGAAGAATAATGATTTATAAGGTAAATTCCGTGAGATGAGATGTTTTTCAAACTTTCACTTCACATAAAGCTGTGTCACAGGAGCCACTAATACATAAAGAGAATCTATCTTCAAAAGGAATGTAACAATTCTTAGTTTTTACTTTTTCTCGGTTTATGCTTGTCTAGTGTCTTGCTTGGAATGCAAATATAGACATATCAGTACAAATCGATATGCCATTATCATACTTGATAAAAAAGTAAAAACATAAGTCAAATAAAAAGATAAATAAGGAAAAAATTGATAAAAATTAAACTTGTTTTGAGTTTTGGTTCTTTTTTTTATTACCTTATTATTGAGAAATTTTTATTATTTTTTTTTAATATTTTATTTATTTATTTTCTTATTTTTTATAAAATGAGCAGTTCCAACACTTGAGATTTCTGATAAAACCAACCTGTACTTGTATTGCAATAGTATTGTATGTTGATTGTATTTTGAATGCGAGTTTGTTGTACAATTTCACAATGGATGGCCGATCAGAGTGTGGAGCATTGATCAAAGCTGGCCATACTTGTGAGATAACGTCCCATTGATGTAGATATGCCAGATAGCTTGAGTTTTTACCACCAGCTGAAATATTGAAGTAAACAATATTATTACGTTAGGTGTAAAATCATTCAAATATTGCATAAGAAAAAAAGAAATTCTGTCAAAAATAAAGCGGTAACGGTAAGTGTGTGCCCCAAGATGGCGACCACTGGTACGTAGTATGTGTACCAGGTTAGGGTTAGGCCATAATTTATTTAAATTTTCTTTTAGTTCTATTACGAGTTCGGGGACTATCCAAGTGACTTCCGTAGTATTTGTATCTAAAATTATGACCTAACCCTAACCTGGTACACATACTGCGTTCTGGTGTCCGCCATCTTAGTGCATTACTTCTAAAGTACCAATTATACAGCTAACTCTTTTATGTCTGCTTGTAGCAGCTTATTTGAATCATTATTATGATAAATAGAAGATAGTGAGAGAAAACAATCGAAAAACACAAAAGTACTCGATATAATGGAAACCGCTGTGAAAATGACAGACCTGACAAAGACTCACTTGGCAATGACACTTTGGATAAACCACCGAGATGCATCGACATAACGGCTGACGATGTGGGATCAATCTCTGTTGCAAGAGAAAACAAAACTCTTAACATCATAAATTATGAGGTTTTAAAATTAAAATTATGATTATCAAAAATAATTTTGTGAAGACATAGAAATAATGTGAAATAATGTGAATAATTTGTGAAGACATAGAAATATTTTAAAGAAAAATTATTGGTTTAATATAGTGGATGGATCTTTCAAAACTAAAAGACAAAATATGACTCTTAACATTGTGACAATAAGAAATTTGAGCAAAAAAAAAATTAAAATTACCCATGAATATCGAAAGGAACATGTTTTAAATATTTCAAACGAAGTCATAGAATCATTTTCAAAAAAAATATTTGTTGAAAAAAGTAGTTTTAAGGCTGGAAGACAAAACGGTATTCTAAACATCAGAAATATAGAAAGTTTTAAAGGAAAAAAACAAATTTTTTTATGAATAATGAAACCACATATTTTGAAATATTTAAAATGTATTTTGAAGAAAATGTAGTTGGATTTGAATAGTGAATATATTTTTCATAACTGAAAAATTAGAAACTTGATTTTAACCTATGAAAAAAGTTTAAAAAAATTAGAGCAAAGTCAGGTCTGTCATTTCAATTAAATAAAAACTAGAAAACACTTGTGATTGAGTAAGTGACAAACTAATAGAAATATAGATAACACCCATCAATGTTTAAACCAAAAGTTTTCGGAAAAGTTGACACTAATAATTTCATTTCTGTTGCAAAAATATAATTGACATCAGAGTCTTGAAGTGATAACTCAGTTACGCAAGATTTTTGGGTCTTGAGTATTGAATGGCTTACAATACTCCAAAATTGTTCGAATTGCTATTTTAGAATTTTTTTTAAAATCTGAGAACGCTAAGAACACTAAAAACTAAATTTTTTGAGCTGGTTGTTTTTCATATACAATAATTGCAACTATTTTCGTTATACATTACTAAAAAAATACCTGGATTTGATAAAATTACAATGGCAATCAACAGGTTACAAAGATGGGCATTGCAAGCTTGAATATGTTAGGTCTCAAGCATGTCTGGGAACCAAAACTGGAGCCTCTAAAGCAGTGATTCTCAAACTTAGGTTTGAGAGCCGCATGCGGCGCGCGAATATTTTGCCCATCCCCAGTTGTTACGTGTGTTGTTGTTACGATGACTTGGTATTTTAAATACGCGCTTAAGGTTTGTTGCTATTTTAACTTGCGTTGTTTGTGTGCGGCTCTTCATAACTTTGAGGTTTGAAATGCGGCTCTGGGACTAAAAAAGTTTGAGAACCACTGCTCTAAAGACAAGCTTACCACGTTAGATAGAGCTGGAGAGACTGTGAATTCAAACAGGCTCATGAACCCGTCTCTAGAACCTATTTGCAAGCCGAGTCATTTGTCATTGGTTGTCCAACAATCGGTACTAACGTAGTATGTGTACCAGGTTAGGGTTAGGCCATAATTTTATTCAGATTTTCTCTATTATGGTTCCATTACGAGTTCTTAACTGTCTGTGTTAACCAAGTGAATATACCCCATGCTAATAAGCTTCAGTACCTTTACACAACTTGATGTTAAGTAGACGAACAAAATTAGTTACCTCCATATTGGTACACATACTTCTGGAGTGCCCAATCATCTTTCGAACACTCAAACCTTACTCCGCCGTTCTCTCATTTTTTTTATGGTAAATGACAGGGGCTACATTTCTGGCATGTTAGTTTTTGACATCGACAAAATTGCAATCTCAATCTTGAGGAGAGTCAATCCACTACATTGAAGTCTCACTGGCAGTATACAGCCGAGTATGTGTCAAAGTAATTTAATTTGGATGACTGAAGTCAGCTTGAGACTTTGGTAAATAGTTGAATTCCAATCAAAGACTCAAGTCCGTTAACATTGTTATACAGTACTGAGCGAAGTAGACGTTCTTGCAATGGGCAAAGATAGAACCACAGAAATCGGCGCTCCAGAAGTGAGAGTACCAATATGGAGGTAACTAATTTTGTTCGCCTACTTTACATCAAGTCGTGTAAAGAGACAGAAACCTATGGGCAGGGGTATGTATATTATTTTGGCTAACACACACAGTCGTAATAGAACTAAAATAATGGGAATCGAAATAAATTTACGGCCTAACCCTAACCTGGTACATATACTACGGGAGTACCCAGAAATCATTGATAAAGTGCTATAATTACATTTGGAAAAGTGAATAAAAGCACACATGTGAAAACTTACGTCCATGTAACAAATGAAGCGTTCCTTTTAACTGCTTGTGATTTTCCACTGGATCTTTACGAAGATTTTCTAACACTAGAGGGAGGTAGTGTTGTTCTGCTTTGTATGGGTTAAGTTGCATACCACGAAAGAAAACACGCTGAGCAGCGATACGCACCTGAATTTTAAAGTAAAATACTATCTGAAATATGGTTTAATCCGAATAATAGGCTGATTTTCTGGACCCAATTTTGTACCCAATCTCACTATTAGATTTGGAGCAGAAAAAAGTGGATTTCATTAAGAATGCTAGAAATTGGCCTCAGCATATTAACCGGAAAACACAGCAATCATTTTTACAGATAGTTTGAAACATTCACCATGCTTCTCAAAATTTTGTATTGTACAATTTTGATTAAAAAAGCTCAAAAAGTGCTTCTTCTTAATAGAGAATAAAAAATTCAACAAATCGAATAATTTCAAGTCTAATCATTCCGTTCAGAATATTTTTGTTCTTTAGCAGCAGAATCCATGATAGCAAGATTTCAACTGTTGAAATATTACCGTCATGTTAGTTAAAATTAAAAATTTTGGATTCCCCACAACTTTGGCATCTTGCATTACAACTCTCATGAAAACAAACATTTTGAATTTTCGTCTTGACTATGATAAGTTTCACAGTATAACTCAACTTCAATTCAAATATCAAAATATAACCAAAACACACTGATAATTGTTAATTATTAGAGATTGAACTCATTGGTTCACTGTTTTCAACATTCATCAAAGGTATGGCTTTTTTGAATTTATCATCACGAGACTAAAATAAATAGTACTATGCAATTCAAGAGTAACAAATATTTGCATCTTCATGAATACATTTGTGTTAGTGTGCAGCAGGAATTGCATGAATTGCATAGGAAGGTATTTTTATTCCTGCTTCAGCATCCTTGCATTATCCGCATACGGATCCACAAGGGCAAAGGCATTGAGGAAGGATTGAAACTGAAATTTAGTCTTGCTTGGCCCTAACTGATAGTTATTCATATAAAAGAGAATACTCAGAATTACTCTATATCAGGGGTTCCCAAACTTTATTGGCCGCGGGCCAAAACTTGAATCGGAGGGATGTTCGCGGGCTGGAAGAGCGTAGCGCCTGAAAGCGTGTGACATGTCTAAGCTCTTATGGTTCATAACTAAATTACTGCCCTATGTAATCATAATACCAGTACGAATAATTGAGATAATGCTTTAATTGAATTGTTACGATAAACACGTCCTTAAAGTGTGATGATTGCGTAACACTTACCGCTATCTAGAATGCAAAAAGGTGAAGCAAAATCCGTTGCACACTATTTCACTCAAGCTCGGCGGGCCATTTTGAATCGTTACGCGAGCCGGATTTGGCCCGTGGGCCGCGGTTTGGGAACCCCGCCTCTATATGAGGCATAATGCATTTGGAAATTTAACATATTACTTTACAGTTCCAGTAAAATAATAAGTTATCAAAATTCTTCAAAAAAAACAAACAATAATGATTACTTACTGCGCTATAATGTGAGACAGACAACTTGAGAAGATCCAGCATTGCATTATGGGTAATTTCATTGTACTGTGTTCGATTATACGCGAGCGTTCGAAGTTGGTGCTGCAGAATCACTCTGTCTATCACCAAGAGACGTTGATGACGCTTGTTCCCACGAAGCTGAATACAAGGATCATGTTAGATTGTATTTATGTTGATTTTCAATAAATTAAAAATAGACGGCCTTGGTGGATTACTCTGCAGATAACCCAAACTATGAATTGTGACTGGAAATGTTTTTCAAATACCGTTTCCTCCATCATCAAGTCCATGCATCTGGAACAAATAACTGGCTAACTAATTTATTCCCAGAAGCATATTTCTAGTGTATTGCATGGTGCGTCTGTTAGGTAATCTTTATTGCATTTCTGGCAACTAGCATTTTCCCAGATGGCTGAGCATGACCTGTGATCTCATCAGTCACAGATGACTAATCATGGCCAACCAGTTGTGAAGGTGAAGTAGCCATGATCACTGTACTAGAGAGCTCATTCCTGTTGGTGTTGCTTATGGGTTACTTTGGGTATTGTTGCGGACATTTATTGAATATTTGCTTGTACAGAGTAAACAGCGCCAGCCGTCGAGCCAAGTAGCTTAATGGACTACCAATTACCATAATACTAAATAGTTCCCAAATATGATAAGAATCTTACAGTATCTTGCATTGCTCTTTTCCCATTTGCAAATATTGTCCAATGTTTATCAAACTCATTCTTATAAAGTTCATGAAACATCAAACATTCACTGTAGATGGCAACGATCTTCAGAATTGACTGAAATTAAAACAAAAAGTAAATATATAAAAATTGAAATAAAGTGATTCAAGAGACTTGCTGCACACTAACACAAATATATTTCTGTAATGTTTCGTCTGACCAAGATTAGACTGACCTTGGTCAGACGAAACGTTACAGAAATATATTTGTGTTAGTGTGCAGCAACACTCTTGAATCACTTAGGATAGTTATCTTTTCTCTTGCTACAGCATCCTTGCATTATATGCATACAGATTCGTCAGCACAAAAGCATAGAAAAAGGATAAGCAGTTAGTCTCGCAGAAACCAAATCATTAGCAAAAGTTAAAATTGACCTGTCATTAAAATCATATTCCTCTGCCTATTTCTTTATTTCTCCATCACTACGCATAAAAAAAGACTTAACTTATTAAATCTTTAATGTAGCTTTGGCCAGTGTTATTTAAACTGGCACCAGGCTCTTAGTTCAGTTTATAAGTAGTTTCTAATGAGTGTATATATAGGGTGTCCATGAAGTTTTGAAAAAATTTTAAATTGCAAAAGAAATTCATAGATAACATATAATATTTTGGCTTTCACAGATGTTTTAAATGAAGCGAAATACTTAACAACTACTGATTGCTAAAAATAAACCTGGTTAAGATATATTGAGAACTGAATTCATAACAAAGTTGAGATTGGAAAAGAACTTTATGGACACCCTGTATATTATATTAATAATTTAAGAACTAAAAAATTAGCAATACTACAAAATCAAACTAAACTTCTTTCTCAAAAACTACAGGATTTCTTCCTGTGGAAAACACCTTCACGAAAACGTGGTGTTTGTGATAAAAATATATTGATATAAAAAGTGGTTTTCAACTGAAGTATCGCCAGTGCAGTACTTCCCAACCAGTGCAACCACTGTTGAGTTTCCAAGCTATTCATGGTGGGTCGCAAAGTATTTCCAAATGCTACATACCGTTTCAATTGGATTGAAAATTTGTGATTGTGACATTTTTAGAATTAAATAAAATTAGAAACAAATCGAATTATGCTCAGACTTGATCTGATAATATCAAATATGGTGGATCATATTTCACATTAACAGTTACTTGCATGGGGACACATTGTTTCATCTCCCATATAGTAACACCTCATTGTGGGCCGGACAAAAAAAGCAATAAAAGTGGGTTGTGAACTGTAGGTTGGGACGCACTGGTCTAGAAGTTCAGCAAATTTACATTTAAATGCGGGAGACTATATTAATTCATGTACATTGCCTAAATATAATCAAATAGGGGTGCTCCCGAAGTATGCGAACTAAGATGGCGGACATCGGAACGTAGCATGTGTAACAGGTTAAGGTTAGGCGATAATTTCTTTCCAATTTTCCTTATTTTAGTCCTATTATCAGTTCGAAGACTAGCCAAGAGCCTCCCGTAGTATTTATACCTAAAATTATGGCCTAACCCTAACCTAGTACACATATTACATTGCGATGTCCGCCATCTTGGTTTACATACTTCGGGAGCACCCAAATAGGTTATCCACTATCATAAAATAGCTAGACAGCAGTTTTGAAGAGAAAAAGAAGAGAAAAGATTCTGTACCTTTACATCATCTTCTTTTGTCTCCATGACACGCCAAAGACCATTTTTGACAGTTTCAAAGATATGACGTCTAAGACCAAAAGCTTTCTTTCCTCTTTCTGTGACAACTTTTTTATATTGCTCAGTCAAGGATAACGTTTTCACATTCCAACTTTTTAGATCGACTATATTCTTACGACCTCTGAAAAATTTATTGCACAGTTAGTTATGTCTATCCATAACATCTTTCTTTGAACCTCTCATGGGTATATGTTTGGAAAAAACAAGATAAAGAATCAGATTTTTCATATTTATCATGCGGGACAGGGAAGCCGATAGAACAAAGTTTGAGAATCACTGCAACCACCGAGCAGTGGTTACCAACCTTTCTCGTTAAATTTCTGCTTTCACCTATTTTAGAATTCTTTATTCCTCCTCTACTATGCAAAAAAAGATACTTCATTTATTCAATCTTTAATAGATCATTATCTATCACGTGACGTGAGTAATACTCCCACTATTTATAGATCAAGTACATGTGTGCATAGATAAGTATTATAGTAGTAATAAATACCTAAGAAATATCGGCAATACAAGCAAAATTCCCATTCCTTCCAAAAACAACAAAATTCATCTCTGGGGAAGATTTTCAACCCAGTTGGGAAACATGACACTAAGATATGAGGTCTACATCACTCACTTTATTTCAACTTTATTTTCTTCATTGTCTGGCAGAAGGTGGCACGATCCAACTGTGAAGCTGTAGATAATGGTCAGATTTCGTAGCAAATCATCCTTTGACAAATCCTGAAACAAAACGAAATGCTGTTCAATTCAAATCTGCTAGACGAGATACTACATATGGAACAGTAGGAAATATACCAGAGATGGGTGCGAGAGAGACGTAAAATTTTTTTTATGAACAATATTTACTGTGTTACTAAAGCAAAAGACAAAAACAACAAGCCTCTTGCCAAAACTAAATTAAATTGCAAATGCCATGGCTTATTTATTGTTGCACAAAAATGCTATGGCCTATTAACTGTTCTATACCAGAATAAGACCACAAAAAAATGATTTTTCCCGTAATATAGACAATTTCACTTTAATAATTAAAATGAAAATTGAGTAGCAAACAACAGTAGCATCATCATTCATTGCTGCACTGGCGTCAAAAGTTACCTATGGTGACACAAATGAAACTTGATTTATCAACAACTCTTGCAATTTTCAGTAAGTAATGTTTGGTCCACTGGTCCTGAAGCACAAAACGCTCACATAAAGGTCGTATAAAAGAAAAATAGTTAGAAATAAAAATCGTACTTTTTGACTGCATGCATAGTTCTTCAATATTTCCAATTCTGGCAACAGGTATCTGTCAATCATTTCAAATCCCATCATTATTTCCGCTTTATCGGGTTCATGCCAAGTCATTTCCAGTTGCCATGGAGACACACATTTTCCCCAATCCTTGAAAAAGTAAAGGTGATGAGTAGGGCTGTCCAAAATCAAATAATTTTTTGATTCGAATCGAATCGAATATTTTCGCCGAATCGAACCGAATAATTGAATATTATTGCGCAATATTAAATCTGTCTCTATGATACAATAAACGCCTGCCCTTCGATGTTGTGGTAACGTATGTGCAGTTATATCTTACTTACTGCTGGTATTTTGCAATACAATGCTTGTATGAACTGGTCAAAATAAAAGGAGAACTCCAAAATTTGGGTCTCGAAAACTGTTTGAGTGTTAAGAGTAAAAATTGCACTATTCAAAAATTGCAATCTCAATTTTGATGGATTCAGTTTTAGGACATGTAAAGCCTGTAGATGCTATTTTAATCCTATTCACTAGTCTTATGTTTTTTGTGTAAATTTCAGCAAAATAACAACAACCATCGATATAGATAAAACTGTTGCTCAAGATCAAAATTGCATTTAAAAATTCCAAGCTAGTTTGATGACAATATTATTTGATGACTATAATATTGTTAGTGTACAACAGCCATCAAAATACAAGAGTGCAATTATTAGATTATGATGATGATACAGTAATGCCATCATAAGAAATTAAAAATTCCATTTAAAGAAGGTATTGCCATCATAAGGATCTCAAAACACCTGTTTCAGCTTTGAGTTGCCTGTACCATGATAACTAACTCAACAGCTTCAAATCGATTCTATTTATAGAACTATCGTTTTCTAAATTGTCTCCTTTTTCTCCTTGTTCTCTCTCAAAAACGTCATGACCGATTATACCTTGTTATGATGACCATGCATGAAATGGCTAATCACGTGCCACAGGGCGGGCATTAGTAATGACATGTTTATCACAAAATGAAGGCGAGAGAAATATCGGGAAACCAATTAAGCCGGGAGCGAGAGTGGTCTGAGCTCGGAGCGCCGCCGCTTGCCCGATGAAAAACATCCCGTAAAGGTGGTTTCCGCTTTATGTACCGGTACCTACAGTAATTTTAGCGATTCGAAAATTAGCCGAAAAACGATTCAAATAATTTGCGATTCGATTTCGAATATTTGGTTCGCTTGGACAGCCCTAGTGATGAGCATTTAGCATTCGAACCCACACAAAGTAATCTTCAGTTCCATGGCAAGTATGTTTGTAATGATTGGCATGGTACTCCAACTACGAAGTTCAACATTATTAGGATGGGATTTTCATATTTATCCTGGAGGAGAGGAAAGTCAATAAGGCACTTTAATAATATAGCGTACCATAGCCTCACATTCGGTTATCACTAGTTCATGTTAGGAATGAAATTAGTCAGTTATTTTAGATGAATGGACTTGGTACTGGATAAAGTCATAACTGCCTAGTGGTTACGTGAACCACCCTATAACAGCGAGACATCCAGCAATCCTCTCACACATAATTATAGTCAAGATTCGAACCTGTGAACTCACACAGGGTAATCAGAGATGTGTTGGCAAGGTTATTCCTAACGCTATCCAACTCACCCTAATAGGCAGATAATCGTCACCCTTTGTTTTCCCAGGGTTCACGCTTCCAAGCTCTGTCTCATAATAACTTGTTAGGGATGTAAGACATTCTTTAGCAAGTTTGCATGCCTGCTGGTAAGCCAGTTTAGCTTCCACTTTCAATGTAAGATCGAGAATTTCAAATATTTCTTCCTTGTATCTGAAAAGAATATAATGACAAATGAAAAACTTGCTGCTATCTTGATTATATATGATAAAAATTACCCTTTAGTTTTTGTAAAATGCTGACACATTCAGTAATATTATCTTTTTAATTTAAGTAATTTGAGTATATATAATTTACATAACCTACAAATAAAAGACTGAAGATTAATCAGCAGTAAATTTTTTAAGACATGATTTTCACGTTTATTTTTGGGAAAAGGAATGTCGATAAGGCTATCATGATTGAATGTGTGGTCTTGATTAGTTTCCATAATAATATGATTTCGAGAGAGCTATCTATATCAGGGGTGCGCAACCTTTAACACAAGAGGGCCAGTTACAACAACCAACTCGTTTCACAGGCCGCATCATTCAAAATTGGCATTTGTCCGCAGGTCGCATAATTTTTCCATGTGTGCGCATTTGGTCCGTGGGCCACAGGTTACACAGCCCTGATCTGTATCATATTTTCTCCATCAATAAAGTTTTTAAAGTCAAAGATGAGCAGAATATGGAAACTCACTCGAGCAACAATCTCCCAGAACATTTGCAAACCCCACACAATACTGCAAGATTCCATTGCAGTTGTTTGTCTGTTTTCTCTTCCAAATGCAAATGAGGATTTTCTAAGAATAAAAAAGTGATAAGAGATTGATATGAATTGATGCAATTTGTAGTTACTTATCGATCTTGATCGGTAAGTATGTTGATAAGTATTTGTCTGTTTGTCTGTCTGTTAGATGCACGCGATATCTCACGAAAGCGAGGTTGAATCTGCTCCAAATTTTGCATGTGCATTCATCATATCTCGGACCAGAAGCCTATTGATTATGGATGAATTATTTTGTATAATTAGCGATGGAACATGCGGTGTCACTATAGAGTCATGAATCGAAACCTCAGTTTCGATCGATAAGTCTTCGGTTCGACCGATATTCTCGTTTATATAATTAGGAATGAAACGAAAATGGTAGCGATTCTTAAATGAATTTCATGAACAGATTGTCGTTGCAAGAGAAAGTTTCTTTTCCTTCTGGGATAATTCCTTGAGATGAGAAAAATGTGGCTATGTGGGTTAAGTATGTTTTGAAGATATATGTGCATCATAAACGACAACTTACCTTTGAATAATTCTTTAATTTCATTGCAAAAATAAGGAATAAATTTTTTTGATGCAATTACAGGTTTTGCTTTTGCAGCCGCGGCAACGAGATTCATCACCGAGGTAACAGCACTTGTTCCATCAATTAAACGATTTGATGTGAAATCAAATATTTTTTGAAGACATCTCTGAAATAAAATAAAAAGTTAGAAATACTGATATATAAATACCTTATTTTGAGCATTTTCAGTATCAAAATTGGAGATGAAGAGACAACAGGTGGCCTATGGCGTAGTATGTGTACCAATTTAGGGTTAGGCCATAATTTCAGGCACAAATACTACGGGAGTCACTTGGCTAGTCCCCGAACTCGTAACAGAACTAAAATACGTTCCGATGTCCGCCATCTTGGTGCACATACTACGGGAGCGCCCATTTATTTTTTGAGGTAACCTATTGTTAGTGAGTTCGATACAAAAAAAAAACGTTTTGAAAATAACCTGGAAAATTTCATCAGAGCATTGTATCAAAGTGATAGCAACAGATGAATGGATAGCGCTGATCATGATGGTTTCCTGAGCGTTGAATTTCCCTTCATTATCATTCCCTGATTCAACTGACTGGGTTGAATGTTCCTGGTTGAGCGACTCAACAACTGAAAAAATTCTGAAAAATTTTGTTCAATAAAAATAAGATTCGTGGCACGAAACAACAATATAAGAATTGTATAATCCATAAATATATGTATGAGCAAATTGAGTACTGGGAAATCGAAAAAGATATTTCAAGTGTAGCAAGTTTGGTACTTTCGAAGTATGTGAACCAAGATGGCGGATACCGTAAAGTAGTATGTGTACCAGATTATGCCATAATGTTATACCAATTTTCCTTATTTTAGTTCTATTACGAGTTCGGGGACTAGCCAAGTTCCTCCCGTTGTTCTTGCATCTAAAATTATGGCCTAACCCTAACCTGGTACACATACTATGTTCCGGTGTCCGCCATCTTGGTTCACATCTTCACATACTATAGGTACCTAAAAATCTCGGTTTCAAATCCTGTGTCATCCAGGGTGTAAAAAATTTGGTAGGCTATGCCGAACCAAAAAAATGTCCTTTCAAAAAGTAGAAGGCCCTCACATACTATTGGATATCACTGGTTGTTTGCATATAGCCTCGTTCAGTGCAGAAAACTTCCCGAATCTAAGCCTCACTCACCTGTCAAGAAATTGAATCACAAAATCAGGCAATTCTGCAGTTGCGAGACACAAATTCTTTTCTTCTTCTGTTAAGTCGGGATGTTGTTGAATCGAACCACTGCAGTCTTTTATTGGCATCAGTGTGAAACAGGTACTGATAAAATGGAACGCAACCTGAACAGACAAAGTTTATTCAGCATCATTGGTAAAGAAAAGTCACATCTGAGCAAATAGGATTTTCATATTTAACTAATAAGAAAAGCCAAGATGAAGGCTTAACCATATGGTGAACCACGGCCTCTTGTCCGGTTACCAGTCCAGGCTGGTTATGGGATTAGTTGGCCAGTTATTTGTTTTCGGAAGCATGGACTTGATGGTGGAGGGAGCTGTGTCCGACTAGAGGCCCGAACCCTTGAAAACAGTGAATCTCTGCAGGGAAATCAGAGGTGCGATGAAAAGTGTATTCATAACGCTCAGCATAATGCACCATCCCCCAAGCTAATTTTTGTGAATACTAAAATACCACTGGCTAGTAGGGCTGTCCAAGCGAACCAAATATTCAAAATCGAATCGAATCGCAAATTATTCGAATCGTTTTTCGGCTAATTTTCGAATCGCTAAAATTAGGTACCGGTACATAAAGCGGAAACCACCTTTACGAGATGTTTTTCATCGGGCAAGCGGCGGCGCTCCGAGCTCAGACCACTCTCGCTCCCAGCTTGCTTAATTGGTTTCCCGATATTTCTCTCGCCTTCATTTTGTGATAAACATGTCATTACTAATGCCCGCCCGGTGGCACGTGATTAGCCATTTCATGCATGGTCATCATAACAAGGTATAATCGATCGTGACGTTTTTGAGAGAGAACAAGGAGACAATTTAGAAAACGATAGTTCTATAAATAGAATCGATTTGAAGCTGTTGAGTTAGTTATCATAGGAACATGGTACAGGCAACTAACTCAAAGCTGAAACAGGTGTTTTGGGATCCTTATGATGGCAATACCCTCTTTAAATGGAATTTGTAATTTCTTATGATGGCATTACTGTATTATCCATCTATATACCAAGACAAATAAGTGCACTTTTGCATTTTGATGGCTGTTGTACACTAACAATATTATAGTCATCAAATAATATTGTCATCAAACTAGCTTGGAATTTTTAAATGCAATTTTGAACTTGAGCAACAGTTTTATCTATATCGATGGTTGTTATTATTGTGCTGAAATTTACACAAAAAAACATAAAGACTAGTGAATAGGATTAAAATAGCATCTACAGGCTTTATATGTCCTATTAAAACTGAATCTATCAAAATTGAGATTGCAATTTTTGAATAGTGCAATTTTTACTCTCAACACTCAACAGTTTTCGAGACCCAAATTTTGGAGTTCTCCAATTTTTTCGACCAGTTCATACAAGCGTGTGATCTCCTTTGATGTAACTGCACACACTTTCCACAACATCGAAGGGCAGGCATTTATTGTATAATAGAGACAGATTTACTATTGCGCAATAATATTCGATTATTCGGTTCGATTCGGCGAAAATATTCGATTCGAATCAAAAAATTATTCGATTTTGGACAGCCCTACTGGCTAGTGAACCAAATAGAATTATGATGGGGCATGATGCAGTATTCCTGTAGTATGTGAACCAAGCTGGCGGATACTGGAACGTAGTATGTGTACCAGGTTAGGGTTATGCCATAATTTCAGGTACAAATACTACGGGAGTCACTTGGCTAGTCCCCGAACTCGTAATGGAACTAAAATAATGAAAATTGGAATAAAATTAAAGCCTAACCCAAACCTGGTACACATACTACGTTTGTGTTCGCCATCTTGATTCACATACTCCGGAAGTACCCATGACTCAGGTTTTCAATATACCACAGGATGATAAAGAGGACTAGTACAGTTTTGAATAAAATGAAAAACTTGACTTGAGAATACATTTGAATTGATTCACACTTGTGGGATCATAGATTTGAATCTTGTGAGAATGTGAGAAGGGATTGCCTTTAACCCTTTATAAAATAAAGTAAGTAAGAGAATCCTCCCCTCTTATGTTGAAATACGCTTATAGCTTTATCCATCCACCACAAAGTTCATGTGTATGGAACAAATACTAAACGAGAATATAGGTCAGAGACCAAAGACTTATCGATCGAAAGTTAGGGGATCCCAAAATACAGCGCTCTTACTCTATAGTGACACCTTGTGTCCTATCACTAATTAATTGATAACTAGTAATTACACGACATAATATATACAAAATCAATAGGCTTCTGGTCTGACATATGATGAATGCACATGCAAAATCTGGAGCAGATTCAATCTCGCTTTCGTGAGATATCGCGTGCAACTAACAGACAAACAGACAAATACCTATCAACATACTTACCGATTCGAATCGATAAGTAATTAGTTATTAGGCTTTGGTAAGTATTATGATGGAGTTTGGTAAGTATTGGTTTTTATAAAATTGTTGGCATTTCAGTCATCACACGTAAATTTAGTCGGAGATTATATTACCTCTGAGTGAGGGTGCAGTCTTGTTTTGAGTATTTTTTCTTAAAAGACGATAAAACATAAAATATTGACTCACTTACCAATGATTTGGGTAAGTCATTAGAATCAATAGCAGGCAGAGCTCGAAATAACAACGGAATCACGTGCGATCGACCTTCTGTATACCATTTTGAATAACGCATTGTCGTGCGGAGAGTAGAAGTTAAAGCCGACATGCAACCTTTCAACTGATGAGGTTCTGTGAGAGTTTCAAGTGCAACGTATGACCTGGAAATCAATATACCGGTAATAAAATATTGGTTATTTGTTGGGGCTGAAATTTACTTGGCTTGAATCTCCATGGACGTTTCCAAATTTATCTTGAATATCTTTCTGTGCGAAAGAAGTATATGAGCGGCTGCAAAAATTGTTATTGTCACATCAACGTTTACTTTTTGCTGATTGGTCATTGTAATGGATATAAACAAGAAATTGATGCTCTGGGAAATGCCCACTGGGTTAGAATATCACCAACTAGTATAAATCTTTGACACAGAAAAAAAAACTGTTTCATTGGACCTAAAGCAGATCTGTGTTTTTTTTTTAAATGCTGTTATCCAGATTATTTCTGTCATGACAAAACGCTTTCTTGCAACTGCTGTGCCATATAAGCTACTTCAAAAATGTCAGTAGTTAAACATAGGCATACTGCCGAAATGGCCAATCTGTTTGTTTTACATCAAGTTTTGCCAAAAATTCACCATCAGTATTGTGAAAAAATGCAATCAAAAATGCAATGCAATTAATATTTTTATTACAACAAAATTTCATGCATTTATTCTCTCAAACTGTTTTTTTGAAAACCGTACAAAGATCTCAAACTTAACTCACTTTTCCAATAATTCTGGCAACACCAATTCAGGTCTGAGAGTTGCGAGGTTTTGTAGAACTTTTGAAGCTTGCATTGTTCCTAACTTGCTGTATAATGCAAGAAATGTGACCGGCTTCACAACCTCCACAAATCTGCTGATCTGAGCATCTGTTATTTGATGAGATTTCGGAGTCTAAGATAAAAATTCAGATTTACAGTGGATGTCTGATAGGAATCATTGGCAAAGATAGAGATAGTCTACGAGATGTACAACACAAACTCCCTCTTCTCTAACTACGCATTTATGTCAGTGGATCCGTATGCGTATAATGCAAGAATTCTTTAGCAGGAATAAACATGACTATACTATGCAATTCAAAAGTCATGCTGCATACTAACACAAATGTATTTCTACAAAGTTTTACCTGATTAAAATCAGAATTTCTCCAAACCAGTAGTTTACTACAATGACAAGAAATGGTGAATCCATTCAGTGCCATTCAAGCCTGGGCCTTCGATATACCTATGTCGGCCACATATAGGGTTCAATTCCATGCCCTTAACCTTATCCAGGGTGTGATAACTTAGGTAGAAAATAACAGTATCCCCTTAAATATCCTGATATATATCAGCGGCTGCTTGTAATAGGTCTTGTTTGGAACGAAAAGTTCGAGTAAGCATTATATAAAAGAAACAGAGAATAAAAATCTCACCTTTCCCTCCCATGAATCCTTCTTGTATCTTTCCTTATGAATACGATATGTGAACTTGTAAGTGATGCTTTGAAGAAAGGAGAGAAGAATTTGCTGAAATAAAAAGGTTATGGATAAATAGTCTGGGACCACAAAATGGGAGAAGAGTAATGGTTATCAACCAGTTGGCCATGATCCACTGCTGAGCCGCAGAAACATCTATCGGTGGGCCACAACTCTATTAAAAATTGCAAGAGTGATTGATAAATTAGGTTTCATTTGTGTCACTTTAGTAAAATTTTGATTGTAGTGGCAATGAATGATGATGCTGTTTTTTCGTTACTGAGCGGTAATTATCATTCTAATTATAGGAGTGAAAGTGTCTATTTGTGGTTTTTCCTGTAGTTTTTTAGGTAGGCCGAAAGAAGAAACTTGTAAAACCATTAAACCTTCAGTTTGTGTGCCATTGTACTCAAAAGTTATACTAATTTAAGACGTTCAGATAAAACGACACAGCGTGACAAAAAAAAACATAAATTTTTTAATTATTGTTACAAAAATAAACAAATTTATTTAACACTTGAACTTTGGTTTAGGTATGAATGTACCCAACAGTTTGGATAATTTAGGACCCGTTGCACAATGTTCTAAATAACCTGATCCTGAAGCAACATAATCAGAAATAAAATGAGTTAAATGAAAGGCAATATTGGGTTGAGTCATAAAAAACAATTATTATATTTATACTTACAGTCCATTTTCCATAGTTTGAAGGATAATAGTAGGATTCAATGGATTTAAACATATTTTCAATATGTTGCAACACAACATCAGATGAAGGTCCTCCCTGGAACAAAGAAAATTAAATATAAATCAAGGGTTTCAACCACAAATTTGGAAAATAAAAATTGTTTTAAAAATGAGGAAAATATATATTTGTGAATTCAACTCATTTGAGAAAACATATCACACTTAAAACTACATGGAAGAAATGACCAAAATCAAATAATATACTATTTCAAATAAATTCTGAAATTATAATTTCGATTTTTTCCTAAATTGGGTCCTGTACAACAAATAACTCTCGATGAAATTGAATTTTGTAACAAAGGAAAGAACAGATGAACAATGTTTTGATTGCTTTTACGTTTTTATTGCTTTTAGAAATTAGGTGAAAGCCTTTTCAGTTATACTGAGACACTTCGATCGATACCATTATTTCAGGGCTGAGAAGTCGGAGCTGGAGACTTGCAATTATTACTGAATCAATTTGAATATTCGATTGGTTTCTCGCATACCGGACTCAAATTAAAAAACAAAATAACTTACTATCATTGCAACTGTCCATCTTGCTATAGCATCATGCTGCAACGGCACAGATACTTTTGCCATGTGGTTTAGCTTACCGACAGGAAGACGAAATGTACGAAGAAGTCTGGTCAAAATCTGTGATAGAAACAATAATAAATTGAAGGTGAGAAAGCAAAATAGGATTTCTGGATTCCTCGTTGTCATAAGGGGGTTCACGTAATCGCTGCATGGATATACTTTCTCCACCATCAAGTCCATGCATCCGAAAACAAATAACTGGTTACCTAATCCCATACCCGACATGGACTGGTAACGGGATAAGAGGCCGAATTAGCCGTCTTGGTAAATTTCCCTTCCTCCGGGATATATATAAAAATCCTATCCTAAAAATATAACAAAGTATGATCTTTTAATATTCAAAACCAACTTCGAATATAGAAGTTAGAATAACATACAAATTTCAGCATACAAACATGCACCATAATTCTAAAAGTATGATAATTATTTTGTTTATATTATTAATTTTCTATTTTCAACAGCTATCAGAAACTGAATGAAGCCTATATCTGAATTGTATATCAGATGTAGAATTAGAAGCATTATGGATTTTTAATCAAAAGTATTCTAAATAATTCCTAAAATTATATATTTATTGTACCAAATATCAAAGTTTTAAGTGTTATTAAATGTCACCAATATTTGAACACATCTCACCCCTCACCCCCTGAAAACTTTTTGTAACAAAAGATGATTATATTTTAAAGAGTTAATATTTTAGTCATAAAAATTTGGTTTTGCTCTTCTATATTTTATACTAAGCATAGAAAATTCCTCAAAGTTTCACAGCAGCAACTAATATTGAAATTTGATAAATATTCCTACACTGTAACATTATATAAAACTTTCTATTGTAAAAAGTCCTCACATTTGAGAAGGAGCATTAATTCTAAGGAGCATGTATTTAAGTCATCAAAATTCGCTGCATTTTTTTTTATATCTTATACTAGTCTTAGAAATATCCTTCACAGCAGTTTCACAGCAGCAACCAAGACGGGTAAAATTATAACTCCACAAATATTCTCACACTGTAATACTACATAAAACTACTTTACAGTGGAAACTTCCCGGAATTCAAGAGGAAATCAAATCTGCAACACACACCTTTCCACAATGTGGTCCCCAGTCAATGTATCCAACGTTATGAAGTGCGAGACGTGCGAAGAGACCAATCAGATGCTGAAATAAAACATTTACATGAATAAAAAGCAATTCAAAACTGGAATTATCTCTTGTTTACCCTTTGGCAAATTTTTGAAGTAAAATTCACTTCAATATTTGTGTTGAATGTCTAATCCAGTAAGTAGAACATGAAAAAAGGATGCTCGAGTGTCTATTCGCAGCAAAAGCTTTGCGATGTTTTGTGCAGCCAACAGTCACAGTTGCCATGTTCTTTCTCACTTGAAAAAGTTAACACCTATGCAGATGAACTTTATCTCCAATGGGTTTTATCCGCAGTTAAAAAAAAAACTGATGAGGAATAAAAATTATTTTTCATATGGGTGATGTGATGCTATATCTGATGTTTTCAGAGCCATCACAAATTTATAAGTATTCTTATATATACATGTTTGCTTCAAGTCCCGAACACTCAACCGTGATAGATAGGTTGTAAGGTACATAAGCTTATCTTTGTGACAGAAACAAAGGCAGATGGTGATCAGTACATGACCAACTGGCCATAATTCCATGCAAATACTGCGGTTAGTTATTGGACCATCGTGTCCATGTATTGCTCTCCTAATGAATAAAACGAGAATATCGGTAAGAGACCGAAGACTTATCGATCAAAAGTTAGGGGATCCCCAAAACAGCGCTTTTAATCCATAGTGACACCTTGTGTCCCATCACTAATTAATTAATAACTCGCTAATTATACGACATAATTCATCCAAAATCAATAGGCTTCTGGTCCGAGATATGATGAATGCACATGCAAAATTTGGAGCCGATTCAACCACCCATTCGTGAGATATCGCGTGCATCTAACAGACAGACAGACAAATACCAATCTAAAGATCGATAAGTAATGAGTCAATTAACTAACCGCTTCAAAAGCTGGGCCGTTATGTATTGATTCCCAGACTGTGAATATTTCGTCAAACCATAATTTCCATGAATTTGAGCGTTCCTCTTCAGTCGTAGACAAAGTCGGCAAGAAGAGTTCCATGTATTTCAATCCTTGGGCCACAGTGATGTCAAATGGACATAGTAATGGACGCCATTCATCCAACATTTCTTGAGTGGCACTTGATGGAAAATATCTGAAAAAAGGATGAAATGTAATTAATAGTTGTGACACTGACACAAAACTGTTACAATTCTCAATATATAATTTTCATTAATAAAATGTTGGGAACTCCCGCAGTGTGTGTGAGAGGTTAGGGTTAGGCCATAAATTTATTCCGATTTCCCCAATTTTAGTTCTATTACGAGTTCGGGGACTGTCTTTGTTAGCCAAGATAATATACTGCCCATCGGTTTCAGTCTCTTTGCACAACTTGATGTGAAGTAGGCTAACAAAATAAGTTACCTCCATATTGGTACACAAACTTCTTGAGCACCAAATGTTGTATGACTGTGATTACTTCACAGATATTATAATGTATTGTGCATTTGTGCTCTTTTCAACTTTCGACCATGACCAAAACATAAAACGAGAATATCGGTCAGAGACCGAAGACTTATCAATCGAAGGTTAGGGGATCCCCAAAACAGCGCTCTTACTCCATAGTGACACCTTGTGTCCCATCCCTAATTAATTAATAACTCGCTAATTATACAACATAATTTGCCCAAAATCAAAAGGCTCTTGGTCCGAGATAAGATGAATGCACATGCAAAATTTGGAGCATGTTCAATCTCGCTTTCGTGATATATCGCGTGCATCTAACAGACAAACAGACAGACAGACTAATACCTATCAACATAATTACCGATTAAAATCGATAAGTAATAACTTACACTGCACAAAGTCTTATTATAGCTTTCAAATTGCCGTCAATAGAAGAAGGAAACCATTCCAATCCCATTGCTTCATTTTTGGAATACAGGATTCTTTGGCACAGATCGTGCAAAGGACGCCATTCAATAACTAGTTCCGATCGGGATAAAAGCTCTCGTTTCCTGCGAAAGAGAGATAAAAGATAACATGAAGCTTCAAGAACAGGGGTGAGCGAGGTTTTTGAACCAGGGGCCAAATATTTTGCCCACCTAGACTGGCGGACAATGTAGGTGTGATGCAAAAAGGTACATTTTATTACCGGTACTGTAAACAAAATTTACAGTCCCATATAGGCTGAGTTTAAAACTCAAAAATGGGTCAGCTTATACAGGCATAACTCTAATCAAACTCAAACCAAATGACATTATGCTAATACGACGTGTTACGATTTGTAGGGTCAGCTTATTTTCGAATTTTTTTAAATTCACCGTTTTAGGGTCATTTTAATTATCTTGAGAATTAATTAGTAAATTATCTTGAGAAATAACTCACTTGAGTAGTTTTGTCAGAGCAGATATAAATAATTCAACAAGAGTTACTTCAATATCTGGTATGGCCATTAATTCCAGGTAGATATTAATAAAAATAACATGATCTTCTTTGGAAAACTTCAGTCCATATAAACGTATGTACCTGAAAAACAATTAGTATTTATATATAGAATAGGATTTACATATTTATCCTGTGGGAGAGGAATGCCGATAACATGGCTCTACATGGCAAACCACAGCATTTCGTCCGATTACCATTCCATGTCAGGTGTGGGATTAGTTATTTGTTTTTCGGAAGCATGGACCTTATGGTGGAGGAAGCCGTACGTGATCAGCGGTTACGTGGACCACACTATGGCAGCGAGGAGTCCAGCAATCTTCTCGCACATAACCATCCATGGGGATTCGAACCTGCGAACCCACGCAGAATAATCAGAGGTGTGATGGCAAGCGTATTCCTAGCGCTTGGCACGATGAGCCACACTGCCGCGTAAATGAACTATTTACTCTAAAATTAATAATCAAACAGATATTGCTTCTCCATAACAGAAACAAAGTTGCAGAGGAACGAAAGCAGATAACTAGCCAAAAAACGTACCATAATTAGGCAATTCAGTGCTACAATAATTCTACTTTATTGACTTCTGTAATACCCTGTAATAGGATAAAGACAGATATGCAATATAGCCATTTTATGTACTGATGTAAGCTTAGGATAAGAAATCAATTTTATCCCTTTGGAGGAAAGTTGATAAGACAGCTACCACATCTTCTAGTCTGGTTACCATGGACTTGGTGGAGGGAACCGTAACCGACCTGCAGTTACATGAACCACCCACAAGTCAGAGAGGAGAAATACAAAATATTTCTTATGAACTAACTTGATTAATTGCCTTGTCCAATGCAATACACTCGGCCTCAATTCTTTCGCCAAGACAGATTTTGACAAATTTAATTTAATCTTGGCCAATGCCTCATTAGATTCTTCATCAATATCCGCTGAATATGGCAAGAGTTTATTATAAACAATTTCTTTTTGTGGTCGAAAACCGAGAATATTTTCTCGTTCTTCAGAATCATCTACTTCCATTGTTTCCTCATCTTGTATACCGGTATGATCTAACATTTTCTATGTATTTAATTTACATGATATCCTCGTAAAATGTTTAGTTTTACTCTGAAATGCAACAGCCTTAATTAGGATTTACAATAGCTTAGTAGACAATTGATAATAATAGTTCATTTGAATAAAATTTGAAATTTATGTTAAACATTAAATGAAATTTTGTATTCCGGATATGTGCGTTTTTCGTGACTGGATAGGATAGGATTTACATATTTATCCCGGGGGAGAGGAAAGTCGATAAGACGGCTTATCCATAGGGCGAACCACGGCCTCTCGTCCGGTTACCATTCCAAGTCGGGTATGGGATTAGTTATATTGTTTGTTTGCGGAAGCATGAACTTGGTGGTGGAGGAAGCCGTAACCGACCAGCGGTTACGTGAACCACCCAACGACGGCGAGGAGTCCAGCAATCCTCTCGCACATAACCATCCCTGCATGGGATTCGAACCTGCGAACCCACGCAGAGTAATTAGAGGTGCGGTGGCGAGCATATTCCTAACGCTTAGCCCGTTGAGCCACACCGCCGCGCCTGACTGAAGTTGGATTTGCTTTCCCAATCTAAACAAGGCTCTCATCGGAATGTAGGAAGATTTTCATAACTGGCATGCACATTACTGTATTAATTTATCGGCTAGCACATACGATTGTGGGAAGTTTTTGATGTTAAGGCTGTAAAGCAATGCTGCAGTGAAGCATACCGGTATGTCATATACGGTACGATAGGTACCGTACCGGTACCGTAGTAACCGTCGTCTGTCAGACCGCAGTTAAACCGTTAAACGGATGAACGGAGATCATAACATACAGGTAGCCTATTTGGATTTTATCCTGATTCTTATTTCAAATCCTATCCCATCTAATCCTTATTTTATTAATCAACAGCAGAAAGTTAAGTTAAATTACGAATATCTGCAGCGCTGTTGACAAAGGCTGAGACTGAGAGGTGAAATGCCGAAATTAGATCTGCTAACATAGATATGTAATGTATGACGAGGCAATATTTTTGCTGATTCATGGTAACCGAACGGTCACGGGGCACTGTGGTCAATCAATCAATCAATCAATCAATCGTTTATTTTGTCATCACAAAAAAACACGTTCAAACATGAAGTGACATAATGAATAAATTACAGTACGAATCATGTTTTTGTGTGACCGGAGTCGCGAGGGACCTAAGAAGGTCTTCAAGCAGCGACACCTACAGCGCTACAGGTTAGAATAAATATAATTGAATGAGGGATAAAATGAATAAATCCTAGGAATAAGTCACAGCTGATACAATTACAGCGACATTCGAAGTGTATGCGATTATGACACAGTAAAACAGAAAATGTAACTTTCACGGAATAATTACTAACAACTAATAAAAACGCGAGGAAAGCAAGATAAAAGCACAGAAAAATTATAGGAAGGGCAAGTTTGGCGGAATATGCAACTAAAAGCAATATAAGGCAAACAGTAAATCGAAAATATTTACAGCAAATGCAATTTAGGAGACACTTACGAAAAATTGATAAGGTCTAATGAGGAATACAAACAAACTATTACATCTATATAATGTACATAATAAAGAGGAAAAGATAAAACGGCCTGGTCATTGAAAATAATAGCCAACGTAGGTTAAGGGCAATAAGCTATCGCTCTCCACTCTGAACGATTTTTGAATCAACTATTAATGTAGCAGATACTCTCGGATTCCGACTCCTTGCACCTATTTTCGTTCGGGTTGATTGACGTTAGCCAGTGTAGGCCAGATCGTTACGGTAATAAAAAGTAAGCGATCTCAGTAGAAATTTCAATGGTTACCCGTACTGGTATAAGAGGAGAGATAATCACCGATATATTTATTTTTTAGGTCTCTTTTAAAAGTGCAATATGCTAGGGATCTAATGGTATTAGGTAAAGCGTTCCACAGTTTCACACCTATATATTTAATGGATTTCTGTGTTCTGCTCGAGGAGTACCTTGGGACATGGAATGAACCTGATGAAGCCGATCTGGTAGAGTAGGAATGGATATTACTCTGCTTCGTAAAAAATTCGGTGAATGCCATGGGAAGTTTGAAAAGATTAATCTAGAAAATATACACGTCATATGTTATAATAATTGGGAATATCATTGAGTGTAAAATATAGTAAGGTGCACCTGAAAGAAATAACTGACCGACTAATCCGATACCTGACATGCGGTGGTAACCGGACGAAAGACCGTGGTTCGCCATATAATTTTTCCGCCTTAACGGCGTTCCTTTTCCCAAGATGAGTCCGAAAACTTTTCTCTCCTACCTCAATATAACGTTATAGTCAAGTCAAGTTATTTTTTTCAATCAATAAAAAAATAAAAATAAATATCACAAGCACAAATTACGAAAAAATGATAATGTAGGCTACACAGTTTTACTGGGGTAGGGAAATCGCGGAGAACCCAAGCTGGTTATCGACTGCGACACCCGAAGTACCCCTTTTAGTATTAGATGAACAACAAATAAGATGAACACTAAAATCAAATACGTTAAGCAATTTTTTTACAATGGGGGGGGGGGGGTGCAATTCTTTTTATATTTTGAATGTTAAAGGGTTGTTTTTCTAGGGCACTAGTGACAGAATAGAGGGGAATTGTTATTAAAGTTAACTAACGTTTGAACAAAATCTTATATAGCATGGACATAGTAGCAATACAATAATATTATAACTTGAATACGTAAGGAAATAAACCCAGTTATATAGTAGTGTAAATTCCGAAAGTTGTGCGTAGATATAAAAGATAATTTATCTTGGACTACGCCATAGTACAAAGTAATAAAAATTACAGCACACAAAGCAGACGACCTGGAGAAATACATAAAACTTCAAAAGGGATTTGAAATATGAAATGCTGATCGAGCTGGTCTCCACTCTCGACCTCCTGTGGCATACCCCCTGCGACCCGCTTGCTGGGTCTCCGCTATAGTCATACCCAGAGTTTCTTCATCCCTTACGCTAATTTACCTTGGACTACGCCATAGTACAAAGTAATAAAAATTACAGCACACAAAGCAGACGACCTGGAGAAATACATAAAACTTCAAAAGGGATTTGAAATATGAAATGCTGATCGAGCTGGTCTCCACTCTCGACCTCCTGAGGCATACCCCCTGCGACCCGCTTGCTGGGTCTCCGCTATAGTCATACCCAGAGTTTCTTCATCCCTTACGCTGGGGTTTCTTTAATTACCGGAACGGACCCTAAATTGGCGCTCCCGTAGTATATGAACCAAGATAAAAAGTAAGTTCCTGTATTTACCGTGTGCTATCCATGGAATAACTTGCCAGACATAATTTACTTTGATAAATTTATAAAATTATATTCTTATGTTTTATAATTATGGTGTATGGAGAAAGTTATTTGTGATTAGAGTGTCCCAAATAAACGTAGAACCGTGTTAAATATTGTTACACCAAATTTTTTTTTCATCAACCCTTCAACCAATATGTTGTATCTCTAATACATTGCACTGCAAAATCTGTGTGAATGGTCTGGACTGGTTAAATGTATTGTGGAAATTAATTTTCATTTTATTCAATTAGTCCCATTTGTGCTACTAATTTTTAATTTTTTATTCATTTTTGTGTACATTGTAATAAAATTTATTCCATGTTTGCGCATTGAAAATCCATGCCCACTTACATTCAGTATTAGTATGGCAAATTGTCAAAGTATTTAGTATTCTTGCAAACCAATTTCACTTCAAGCATTTCTATATTCTGCATAATTTTATGTAGTTAGACCAGCGGTTCCCAAACTGTGAGTCGCGACCCATCAGCGACCCATGGTGGGTCGCAAAAGGAATCATATAGTGGGTCGTGAAAAGATGTAGAAAGCTTTGATTAGTTAAACTGTTTATTAAGATCGGTGGCGACTTGAATACGTAAATCTTCACAAAACAAAGGAAATTAAATTGAATTTAAATTTAAATCTGTGAAAGTTTCCTTTTTGATCCTCACAAAAATTTGCTACACAAAGAATGACCATGTGGCTTTTTCCACCGCAGCATTTAAAAGTACTTATGCCATTTTTTCATCTTATAAATGTGAATCTGGATTTTCAGCAATGATTGGGATTAAAAGCAAATTTTGAAATAAACTGCAACTTTCGAATTCTTTGCGTCAAAAACTATCTGGAATTGAAATAAATGTCAAGTGTATTATGGAAAGTAGCAAGAAACAAGCTCATCCTCTCACTAGCTTCACTGGAAATTTAATTTGATAAAATCCACCATCAATGTTTTATTAATTTATTAAAGTTGAATGGGTTGCCATAGCTCTAAAAAGTTCGGGAACCACTGAGTTAGACAATATATAATAATCAGCAATATATAACAATCTTTCAGCTAAAAAATATGATGAATAGCATATTTTACTACAAAACAGAACTTTTCAATACTTCCAACAAAATAAAATATGAAAATCTTGTAAATAGTTTAAATATTGAATAAACGAGGGGTATTGGATCATCTCACATCGTACCTGTTGAATTGTTTTATTACTAATAATATATATAATTGTATGGCTGGCAACAGTCTTTGATGACCCCAGAAGGTCGTATCGTTGTCTCTCAGTCATATAACAAAGCATCTGTTTATTTATTATTTATATATTTATGCATGTATTGTATGTTTCATGGTTTGACAAATAAAATAAACTCTCTCTCTCTTTAGAACAGGCACTAAATTGCCTGAACGGACAATTAGGATATATTATCAGTAATAGAAAAACAAAATAAATGAGAAAATCGATAACCTCTAGTTCTCCTTTAGGCCTATGTTATCGGCTTGGAATGTTTTCGTAGATAGGGTAACGTACTCACAGATCTAGATTACAACAAATAAAAATTAATTTCCAGCAATCTTTTCTGCGATTTTTCTTGCGTTCTTGATCAGGTATTTACATGTATTAAATCTTTATGAAGGTTTTGCCAGTTTCCCCGATTTTCCCAATCTTCTGTGTGTTCATTGTTTGTGTTTTGTGTATGATTTTTTTTTGCGGGAAAACAAAATATACTTATAC